CGAAGACCTACGGGGTACTCTCGCCCTGTTCGTCATTGAGTCGGTCTAGCGGATCGAGAGTTAGATGTCGTTGCCATTGGCCAACCGGTATCTCTCTTCGTTTGAGAAAGACAGAGCGCCAGCATTTTTCTGCAATATGGCCTCATCGACGTCATTTTCATAGCGTTTTGAAGTTACTGCTGACGGCAATGGCGAATATCGTATGCACTAATCACACTGCTGGTATTGTCGTCGGTGTTTCACTCCAACGAAAACCATGAAGGCGCCTTGAAGAAAGGTGTACCTCGTTTGTCCTTGGAGACATTACCATTACGCAGCGTTAGTGGTCAATCTAAGTGCCGGTTCCGGTTGCCACGACTCGGCTATTCCGCCGTTATTGTGTTGCATTATTCGCTTGCCTTCTTGCCCTTCTCTTGGGCATTCGTGTGAAGCTTGAAAGTAGTCTAAATACACAATCTAGCTGGGCCCAAGAGGTGGTTAGACATTGCCACCTTAGCTAGGGTCGCAGGCAAGCCACTCAGACATCTCTAGCTGACTGCCCTGTAACTACTGTCTAGTATGTATTGTTTGAGAATGAACAAAACCTTATAGCGCGGGCGACTTCAGTGGTTTTCGGCCATGGAAAGCACCGAGACGCAACTGAAAGCTCATCCCGCCACCGTTGTGGCCTCACCAAAAAACCAAACAGTAAGACCTCAACAAGGGCGATCAAATCGGCTTCGACAAGCTACCAGACTTTTCTTTACCTGTATTATAGCCATCGATGTCGCAACAAGTCACAAACGTTAGATGTAAATAAACAAACAAATGTTAGCAGCTTCTTCGAGCCAACTTATCGTTCTGTGGTGATTCGCTGTGCTTATGTAAGAAGACAATTGGTCACCCTTAAAAAAAAGCTTGCGTAGAACATTCGGTCAGTCAATGCGACGCTGGACAACGAGAGCACAGGTAGCAGAAATTGCTTTGATTATTGCAGATGCATACCTGCACGCACGCACGCACGCACGCACGCACGCACACACGCACGCACGAATACCTCTATAAATATTTTTACAATTTTATTAAAGTCGAACCATGATACAGTCAGCAATATGTGAAAGCTACTTCGCGGAACGAAACCATCATTGAGGCAGGTGTGAAAAGTGAGGCATTGTTTTTGGATAGAAACAACTTGCATTTGGAAAGCACGTACGTACACGTACAGTTTTAACTTAATTCATTCTCAATTGATCATACCATTTTCTTATGTGACACCGACTGAAACAAATCTGATATATATTAGAGATGTCTTTACGAGTATACTATGCGTTGGCTACGATCTTGTAGCGGCTTCGGTGCCGTCAAAATAGAAGAAATCACGTAATACTGAAATAAGGATTTATTCGGAGAAGGAAAAACTCGCACTAATATTTGGCAAAAAATCAATCGCCTACCCACAATCTTTTCGCTGATCGTCGACAAGCGAGCGGCACATAGGGTCCATTGGCAAACACGAACGGAAGGTTATCCTTGGTATACCGAAACCCTATTTGGATTCATTGAGTAACCATCGTAAACTTAGATCGTTTGAATGTAATACTGTTGTGATATGTAGCTAATTTTTCCCCATGGTTTATGTGAACATTGAAGGTGAACCCGCGCGACTTTTACTTTTGAGGCACTATAAAGTTGTTTCTCAGCAACACGTTCTGTCAATATTTTCAAGTCAACTTCAAACTTTAGTGAAGTTACCAACATCTCGGTACGTTTCCATAGTAATTTTACATTCAAATTGGATGTCCGGTTGGTAAAAATCCGTAGTCGTCCTTTTTGCATACCCTGCCACCCCCTGCCCCCCGCCGATTAGTCAAATTTGGTTTTCGCTGAGTTTTTATTTTTCTGTACAGCCACTGTCATCTGTCAGTAAGGCAAGTGCGTCAATTCATTTAGGGGATGCCGCATTGCTAATATGATTGCGCAGGATCGTGCACGTATTTGTGTATTTCCTCATTCATCAAACTGTGCAGTTTGCCAAATAGGAGGGGTGGGAGCTGTTCCCCATTCTCTATTCGATAACGGCCGCTGTTCTGTCCCGTCCGGGGGATATTTTTCGATCTTTCTCTCACTCCCCAACTATTCCTGCTCGATATGATTAGTCGTCGCCGGCGTATGGTCTACAACGGACCAAACACACAATGTACGAACGGCAACAACAGTAACAGAAACGATCAGTCCATGTGTTAGTTCGTATGGTAGCGTCTTCTATCTAGGGGTGGTATCATCGATGCGCTGACAAAGCCGTTGGCACTGCTGCCGCGCTTACGTTCCCAAGTGGTGAGAACAAGCGACAATTGCATTGACGCCTGCGGACTTCACACTGCTCGCTTTCCAGCGAGCGACAACCGCCGCAGTTGCAGCCAGCTCTCGGCCGCGCTCGTCTCTCTTTTTAGCGGCACTGCCGTTCTTCTTCTGACATTGCTGGGCCGTCGAACTCCTGCTAATGCCGCTGAAGGACTTTCGAACAGACATAATTCGATGCTTACACCCAGCCAGAAAGACGCGTCGTCGTCCAATCGACAGCATCTACTCAACGCAACGCAATAGCCACTTAGCGCAGGAATAACAGAAATGTGCGCGCGAAATATATATATATATATATATACACATATATATATATATATATACATATATATATATATATATATATACATATATATATATATATATACATATATATATATATATATACATGTTTGTCTGTATTAGCGACGCAAGTCGGTGCCCCCGTCCGCCAATGTTCGCCGCCTTTAAATCATGAACAGAACTGTCACGTTATTCGCTTGCTTCCGCCAGCGTCGCTACCAAATAGGCCTAACGCGTTCATGATAAGGACACAGAATAGGAGTCTCCCATGCGCTCGTAAAGACAGTGAAACCAATGGTGGTTGATTCGTTTTTATAGCGGCCTTTATAGAGCCTAAGGTGACAATCGAGAGACTATGGGTCCTCAGTACGCGCAGTGAATTTTGTGATTCGACCTGCAAATATACTCCAGCTCTTTTTTTATACTTCATTATCTATCCAGACATTATTTGCGCGCAACTAATAAGGACTTGTTCGTTAATAAGGACTTATGTTAAGGCTTTCATAAATATTGAACGAAACATTAAGAATTGCAACTATCACTTGTGGCAAGATGCACATGGTAACCCAACAGGAGCACCTGTGTCGTATGACCTGAGCGAAACGCTCTATCAGTACGTATAGGTTTTGAAAAGGGTCCTGGAAAATAAAGTACAACTTACCGTACTAGTCGTTCAACTAGGCGTAACCGTCAGAGTTCGCTAGAGGTTAGAATAATTTTGCGAACCAATAGAATAGAATTACGAAAAAAGGTCAATGAACGTAATAGATTATTTACAGGCTTGGTCAGTGGGAAAGAATCAGGCGCCGTACTAATGTGTGCCTTTTTCTAATCCTGTCACCGGCCCATAGAACGTCTATAGAGAAGTTATTCTTCGAATGCAAAAAAAAAACATAAACGTTATGAAGAGCCGTCCCGGTGGGCTTGAAGTATTCGTAGCGTTACATCCCCGTTGAAATGAAAAGCCATAAACGACGACAAGATAATTGGGCTCTTACGATGCCAGAGTGCGATAACGATTCTGATGAAGTCAGAATGAAAGCAGATTGTTTTGCTTGCAGTATAAGCAAGCTACTAAGTACGCCGGCTAAGACAACGTTTCTCCCACGATGAGGGCGACGATGAGGGCAAATCAACTGTACAGGTTGTTTGTTAGAAATAGTGTTTATTAGTTCAGAAGGGTACGTCTTTGTATCGGACTTTGACTAACTTTAACTGCCAGACGGTCACTCCGGAAGTGCTTATTATTACTATTAGCGCTCGACAGTACGCCGTTCGGCGGCTTCTTCGAAAGTCAAAAGTTACCACCCTAATGTGCTTTATATATCGAAAAGATAATTTATTAGAAACCAGCAACTGCTCATCTTGAGCGATTATTAGCACAAGTATTATACCGTATAACTAAACAAAGACTTGAAGGTTATTTGCTTGACTAGGTAAACAAGTGATATGGCACTGGAATTAGTTAGCTAGCAAGTTTTTCGGTAGACCTTTAAGAAAACTAATAGACAAGCGACCATTCGGTTACAGAACTGTTTGGCGTATTTGGGTTTGAGAGATATGTTATTCGGTGCTGATTTTACAGACTGTATCATTGAATACTATCTTGCTTGCATCAGCTTATAAGTAATGGTCGAAAATTTCGACTCTTGAGCGGGTTGGCTAGAAGATGTCGGAGGTCTAGAATCGTCAAGCCAAACTGCTCGAGATACGACGACCGCGGATAATTGAACGGTGATACTGATATACTCGTGACCCCCCCATTACCATAGTGACTGCGCGAGGGGCGGTGATATGCAGATGTGCTTGACTCGGTTCATTGCACATTGATGTTGAAGATGTATAGGAAATGATGTTTTTTCTCATTCCCTAATGCTCTACTTACTATATACTGTAATTAGAAACCCTACCACCTTATACTTACTTATGGTTCTTCAATAACAGTACTATACTTTAGGATTATTTAGAGGGGCTGAAGCCTTTCGACGCAGGTACCTCCCTAATGAGCAATAATGTCTGTGGCACTATGGGAAGACCCTATTATGTCTCATGATATTATTACTTTGCTATAGTATACTAAACATAACTGTATAGTAAGTGAACGATTTACAGATTCACCCAGTTTCAACTGAAAACCAAACCTGAGACCGGTTTCTCCGACTTCATAGAACCTGTTACCCTACGAAAAGGTGGGTTGTATGAGCGTTCATCTTGCGGAACCTCCCTCCAGATCTTATTGTTTAGAGAATGAGTAATGTATTGAACAGTCGATAACTTGTTAGTTTCGCCACGCAGATTAGTAGCCAGGTAGTGCGGTACTATTAACGACAAAACAAACTCACCATGTGCTATGTCTTCTCTATATTCTCTAAGCTCATGTTCTATTGCAAGAGAACGTTTATTGTACTTTTATATAGATACAGATCGGCGTCAATGCCATCCTTTTGTCACGCTAACGGGGAAATCTAAGGCTCCTCTTTTAAGACACTTAGTTCCTTGAATCCATTTAAAGCGACCGTATGCAGTCCTCTTCTATTTTTTACGACCCCCATGGCGAGAGGTTTCCTGAACACTTGTCAATTCTCGTCGCGCTGTTTCGTTCTGTCCAGCATGAATATCGGAATTTGAGCTGCAAGTATCTCTCTGAACCTATGCGTGACAGCTTTTGAAGTTTTGCTTAATTTGGTAATGACACACATGGCTATCCACTATCAAGTAAAGGTATTTGTGTGCTTCGTAAGTGTAATGTGTCATGGGGAACGGGGCACATTACCGACCCATATTTATTCGACAAAGCCTATTCCGTTATATTAACCAGCAGGTAAATAAAATCGTACGCTCGATGATAGCTAGGATGCGCTATTATTTTTGACAGCAGAATAGGTGCCCACAGTCAATAGTACCAGAAGTAATGGTCGCAGCAATGTTATCGTTGTATTTAGTTAATCAGGTTGCCTGGTCACTTTGATGTACTGTCTTCGTTATCGTTATCACTTGGCAATGCCTGAAAGTTAACAAAAAATATACATTTGTTAGCTATAAAACTGAAATAATCTAAAAGCGTTATAGGGACATAAGCTGATATTGTTGCTTCACTTATTGATTCGGTCGTCCCTAACGAAGGCGCCCAGTAACGGTACGCTTTTCAAGATGTAGGTTTTAAAAAACTTTCGAAAGTCCGAAGACCGCTTTACCATTTTATAGAAGCGATAGGGTCAGACATTTATAACTATGAACTAAAAACTACGTAGAAGTTCGCTACGACATTTTATAGCTTGTTGTTCATAGAGATCGTCCCTTCTCACACACATGCAATGTAAGCTTCATATACGTTAGGCAGTACTTCTTCTATATATATATATATATATATATATATAGCGCAGTGCACTGGAGAGCACAGTACGGGTAACTTAACTGTAATAAAATATAAGGATCCGCTACCATCAAGGCAAAAGTGGGTTTATGCAGGGAGCACCGTTTCAAAGCTCCAACAATAATCATAATAGTGAATAAACTAAGAAATAGTTTCTAGTCCTGTAACCTGAACGTGTATCTATTTAAAAAACTAATGATATATTCATATATAAAGAAATTAAGTTAAAATCGAATATTTTTGTTTGCCTTCTTACCTCGAGTTCCTCAAGGATGCTGTCGACAAAATCTGTCGGGTTTCTCTTGTACTGAACGGCGGCTCGAATCGCTTCGTTGAAGAGTTTGACTACGTTCGTGCCGTCAGACGCTGACACGTAGAAGATGGGCAATTGGTTCTTGGCGGGAAAATTGAATTTTTTGCGCGTGACGTCGTAGTCAGCTAAGAGAAAAAGACATGGTTTGTCACTGAGAGCAACGAGGACATTTGTTTTTCAATTACGACAAAAATAGCATTAGCAGATGAACTCAAAGTACCGTTACATCTGATAGCCAATGATGTTTTTGTTAGTACGGATGAGCTGACTGAATCAGCAGCAGACAACCTGATTTACCCGCTAATTTACATCGCTTACGACAAGCAGCACAGGCTGCCATTAGTAAGGTACACGTGAACAGTCTGGTATAAAATCCCCTTACCTCTGCCGAGCCTGCCGTTTGAGATTTCGGCCAATCGGGAAATCATATAGGATTACATTGATGTGGCAGAGGAAACTCGTCACGATACAAACTGGCTGGTCAATCTAGCCGAAACACTTATGGCCCTAAAATAAATAAGCCGCCCTGTCGGCTAAAGTAAACGAATAAGTAGGCAAATACGGACTTCGTAGATAAAGTAGCAATATTATTAAGAAAAGGGGCAGATTGGCTGTACTTTCAATAGATAGAGCTAGCGAGATGTTCGCGTTGACCTATACTATACCTAGTCATGGAACAACGCTACAATAGTCCTGAGATGTTACGTAGATTACCACCCTAAGGTACGTAATAAGGTCGACAGCTGACGTGCCGCTGCTCTTACTTGCAGTAAGCTGCAGATGCGAACACGTGCATCACTACGTGTTTCCTTTGCGCCCTTTAACTATGACAACTTATGTTGGTAACGCAGCTGTACTATTGTTCATTGTGAAAAAGCATATGCGATCTTTGCCGTCGTAGGTTATATTACATGAGGGAAAGAGAGAGGGCATCGATGACGTTTAGCAGGCTTGTGGAAGCGTTTAACGTACGTCTAACGGGTTTTGGCTTCTTGTGACAACTGGCAGCGAGGCTATCTGCGGCATACGATACCGCGATCTGGAGCAAGGCAGTCGGATAGTTCAGCGTTAAAAAGACATCAGCGGGTAGACGGGCAGGTCGGTTACACTTTGTAATGGAGGGCTGGCCGTGACCGTGGCCCTGATCAGGGTACCAACATCGGTTACTATGTCCGTAGACTAGATCACTAATGGCGTATTGCTATCACTCAGCTTTTTGTATTCGGCTGAGCAAAACACTATGACAGGTTAGGAGATATATCACTGGCTCGTAAACTTACATTTTCAAGCTAACACGACATCACCAATGATAACTCTATATCCGACGTTGCATTTAAATTTTAAACCTTTCAGACGCAGGACAGCGATAGACCCAGTTTTCTACCTGGGCTGAATGTCGGTCAAGGGGTCTGATGTTATAGTACGAAAAACAAGTTCTGTGATTCGATTTGTTAAAGGTACCAATTTTCTCGATATCTAAGACGATACGTTAGCTATACTATAGTAATGAATATTGGTACTATACGGTGTAATTTCACATTAAATGTTTTATATGCTGCCATTGTGTATGAAAGCTGACATCCCGAGATATCGCAACGTGACGGCTATAAACATTGCTTAAATGTATTACGTTATAATTGTTTATAGAATCGTTGCTATGTCTTCAGCGGGCAAGGCCACGATGTTTAATTACTGACACTCCCGTATAACTTAGAACAACGTTGCAGGCCCTACACATTCAGCGCAAGCACCCCTCTAACTACGAAGACTGGGTCTATCGATCTGCTGCAATTATAAAACTAGTTTTGCTTATCTTGGTTGCGAACAGCTTAGCACTAGGCATAATATAATCAAAATCTTCGCTCGATAGGAAGAACCGCCGCTGCAGATTGAAGAAAGAAAGAGCAGTCAAATGCTACGCTTCCGTTATATACAGTACAGTCGTAGACTCACCATCGATTTTATTGGCTACGCAAATGCACGGGATCGAGGGTCGTTGCCTTCGAAGTTCTTCGTACCAGCGTTGTAGGTTTTTGTAGGTCGTTTTGCGGGTAACGTCGAATACCTAAATAGATCAGATTGCAGACGTCACAACTCGTGGTAGTAATTGCTATTAGTGGAGGAGAAACTAGTCATTTTTCACCCAATGTTCCTTCTGTCCCATAGGTTATTTCGGTCATCCTTTACTATGCACCACGCGTGTGGTGGCGTATGGAAGGTTGTTTTGGTGCGGCAATGTATGCGCGAAATCCATATGCAATATAGCTCAAAAGCGTCCTTTGTCATGACAAAGCTTTGAGCTGATATTGGTAAGCCCGATATTGATTGCTCGCGAACGAACAACCCTTCCGGTTATTTGCTCTCAGTTAACTAAAATCTAATAGGCAACAACGGCTTTTTCACGTTGGATAGGCTACTGGATATTTCTAACTTACGAGAAAGTTAAGAACAGTAATGAAAATAGGTTTCTATCTTTATACGGAGGGATTCCAGGGTAAGCTTCAATAACTGTTCCTAGTCAAAAATAATCTTTGCTTTTGCCGCAGTTACTTAGTATGGCATACGAACCCTCAGTGGGCCCTTAACGTTATGAGATATCGAAATCGTACCTTCGCCAGCTCCGGCTTTACTTTTGTTCTTGTAGTCCATATGCTCTCTATCGTATATAACGTCTAATAAAAGCAAACTTTCTTAGTCCATACAGTGACCTCGCGCGCGGAGAAAAGATGTTCGAGCATTTGGTGCACAAAGTAAGGTAACTACTTACTAGCGCTACAATGGTACAGAAGGTCCTACCAAGCTGGACCAGGTGATTTGCGTATGCGCCAAAATCAATAAGGTGTCCTTGTCTGGACGAAAAACCCGCACATCAGATTCTGAAACCGACTCATACCTGAACGTAATTGGACCTATTTTGAGCCGATCGACACAAAGATCATGTTGAAACTTGGATAGGAAATGTGCGGGGTTTAACTTTTTCTTTACGTGTCTAAGTTAAACAGCTGGATGAAGCCATGAAGTTTTCGAAAGTGCATGGGCTATTCCATAGTTCCGTGCTGGTTGGTTATATTATTAATCAACAGAGGGCTTCATCTACTGCTGATGGGATTCTCCGGGTTTATAATAGCAAGCGTTGATTAGTTTTCTCAAATTTATCATTTTTCGTCAAAACAGTTCCTTTTGCTTAGTGATAGACTGATCAAGAACGCTCTGAATACATCAGTAAGTTAACTAAAAAAAGGGGCATAGACTTATTTCAACTATATTGCTCGGTCTTCCATTGAAAGCCTTGGTGTCAAATAATGAACCTCAGATGTTTTGTACGAATAATTCGGACTGTAATTCGGTGTCCAAAAGTGATTTTTGTCAAAGGGATCAAGCATGAAATTGAATTTTATTTACCAAAATACACGCGTGGGCCTGATGGTAATATGAAGCGTGCAATTTCTGGAACCGCTCCTGGCCTGCAGTGTCCCAAAAATCTGCAAGTCACACCAATAGAAACACACATAACGGATTGTTGGTCTAAGGCAAAGCGATCATCAGCTGCAAAATCTTCCTCGATCCTTTCTTCCTTGGTACAGATTTGATTTAGCGCGCATAATAATAACTAAAGTGGGAAATTCTCGCAACGGGTTGCACCAACGCGGGGAGGGGGTTGCTTCTAGTTCTAGCGCTATGGATAGGTGCCAAATGATATTGCTTAGGAGCTCACCCATTACATTTTTACTTCATTTGACTTCTTAAACAGTTCAACTATTCCTCGAGAGGGTTTTCTGTATGGTGGAGAAAAACAGGCAAGATGCAGCCTAAGCAAGTTAAAAGGACGTTGAAAGGAAACCTCATCATTAAAAAAGGCACTGTGAAACGAATTCTATATATAAATTAGTTGTTTTGTTTAGCGAAGACGCGGCAAATTATCACCGAAAAATATATATATGATACGTTCCGATGACCGATATCGGCGCAAAGGATACTATCGAATTAAGATTAAAGCCGATCCAGAAAGTTTTTGCGACTCTTCTGAATTGTGAAATTCATGATGTTTCAATAGATTCAGTGTAGAAGTCAACGTGCAAATATTATGTGGCTAGTCTGCAATCATAACGCTCGAAGGGTCACTTCGAATCGTTGGCCCTTTAAAAAAGTCAGTGAAAACAAAGTCGACTAGGCCGCTAACAAACTGTAACTTGTGCCTATTGGTTTGTAATAGGCAACGAAACACTTGTTCCTGTTCGATATTGGCAAACTGCCCATGGGGCTCGTGTGCGCGCACTAAGCTAACCAGGTTTTTCAACACTGTGGGACAAAAAAGAGCGGTCTGCATTTAACACATCGAGCTTATAGTGCAATAATGTATTGTCGATTGCTTCCTATTAACAGGGTATAGATAAATGCAGTGGTACATACGAGAAGGCATTGCGTTTTCGGAAAGCCTTTAGCCTCCGAAGGTGTCAGGATCACACGTTGCGAAAATAGAACGGAAGAAGGAACGAGCACTTATGCAAAATGTTACCTCACATTTAACAGGAATGTTTCTTACCAACTGCCACGTCCGTTCCATCGACGTTTGTCTTATGCCTGAACAAAGTCAGTGCATAGGTTGACAGCTGGCTGGTTTTACTGAAAGTAGTAGAGTTCAATCAGGGATTATTGGGTGCCTCAGTGTATAATACGTCTAATTCGACAAAACGGTGGATGCAGCATTATACGCTAACAAAAATCAACGTGGAAATGACAAGGAGATCGATAACATTATCTCGAGGGGGGAAGGGGGATACTATAGAACTGTGCAGCTACCCCGTCCTCATTGCTACATGCAGTGTATTGATATCACTTATATAAAAAATTCATCCCGGAGACTCCATAGGATGGGCAATATATTAGGCGCCGCAATTGATCTATAGCCTTATATGGTAAGATACATGTCATTGAGACGAAGTTGAAATGAAGAAATACGACAAAGCTGTACAAATACTCACTATTCATCGAGAAGGAATCGCTCTACAAGCCTGTAACGGTCACACAACAACAAACACTACGTTTATTTAACCTTGATTAGTATCTTTTGTTAGAACCTGTCTGCTGGGTAGACCTTCCACACGTCGGCTCAGCTGATAGCTAACTTAGAATGCAAACCTAGCTCACAAACTTCAAACAACGCTTTCATAACTACGCGTATCTGCTTCTTTGGCTTTCGCGGAAGTCCACTTACGACATAATTGGGGAACTTATTGTAGTTCTTAGCAGTTTTGGATGGAACTAGGTCCGTTTCCATGCGAAGGGACAAAGCAGCCGCGTTTTCGTCTTGATTGCCCCGCTGTCAGCGGAAGATCTGTAGTCCACTGTGAGCAATGGCAATCAATGAGAATGGTAAAATTTTTCTTGCTAACTAAACCAAGTGTCAAGACGATAACCATAGATAAGATGAACGGCATAGAGTCTGTACAATTTTTTTAATCAGGTGCAGCACATTGGCATAGGAGCACGTACTTAGCGAACAGCGTCATCTCCTTTAAGAAACTCTTTTGCCCAACACTCAGTGTTGTAGAATAACATATTTGTGATTGCTTGATAGAACTGGTACTACACCATTGAAGAGACAATGCATTCTGCCATCCTGCCGACATTTAGCTTACTTTGGCCTTAAGACGAAGACAGCTACTGCTCATTAGGCATGGATGCTGATTCTGATATGACGCTGGATTCTTTGTGGGCAGTTCTCAAGACGCTAACGTCACTGCGGCCGTTAGCGATGTCAGGGCGACGAGACAAATACAGGTAAACTGAGAGTTTTGTTTAAAACGACATCCCGTCTGCCCATAATGCTTACTACCGACGACCATTCCGATGATACCAATTGGTCTAGCCATATTGGCTGAGACTTACTTGGACTTTCCAACGGCGCTGTCGCCTAGACAGATGACTTTTACTCGTTGTATTCCATCTGTTCCCACCTGCTCGTAATCAGCTACATCCTCAAACTGACCCTTCATTTTTCTTGAGGCAATCGGTGTTGACGAGCTTCGAATCGGCACAGCTCGAAAGGCAGCTGAGGATTGAATAGGTAAAATGCTGATGCCCAGCTGGTTGGGTCGATTAATAATATCTAGGCTCGTCGTTGTAGAATGTAGCTCGTACAATCTATAAAACAGGATACACTATATTACTTACTTAACAATTATATATTAAGTTCGAAAACATCCAACTTATTTTTGTTAGTTCTTATCATTACTTACCAGGTCCTTGTCATTTGTCGAAGCGTTTTGAGTAGACATGACTGCTCAAATTTTGGGAGCGTTATCTCGAGTCATTTCTCACTTTCGCTTATATGTACAACATAGAGGAAACAATATGTACCCTCCACAAAAAGTTATTATCTAGTTAGTCAGTGTTTGAGATTGTTTATTGACTATAAACTCTCAGAGCTTTGTTTTTGGTTAGAGTAATAACTTTGTAGACATATCAATAGTTCATCAATCAATATTGCAAATCAATTGCATTCCGCTTACGGCTTTAAATTTATTAACGTGGCTTTGAAAAGAGAACTCATGGAGAAGCATACGCCATTTTGTACGATTCATCTTGACTAAATGAATAGATGCCCCAGTTTATAAATAACTGTCAAGATATCCGGACGCTCAGTACAACGTCTCACGGGCCTCCCATGAAGTCTTTGCAGACATAGAAATTATTCGCAACATGAACTTCTAGCAGAAAAGAAATGACTGTCGTATAAATGTTACTTTCTTTTTTTATTTAAACAAACACGATGTAAAGGGGTCTACCGTACCAACTTAGCCCTATCCGTATTAATATATTTTTTTATGCACATCAGCCCAGTCTTACGTTCGGCATTACGCTTCTGTGACAGGATGAATAGCAGAGGGCAGATTCCAAGAAGATTCTCAAATAATCCGATCTTAATGATAATAATAACTTCAAAGGCATAATTTATTTAATAGATGATGAATCAAGCTCTATATACTATTAGGTCCCTATGTCTGACTATCCGACCGATCCGACCCTCTAAAGAAATCAGGTTGAGTCGGATTGATCTTTTCGGTGTCGGTAGAGTTTTGTCCTGCCTGGAAAAAGCCCAGCATAAGATAGAACTGATAATATGAATACTTTTCCCCGGGGAATTTGTTTTTCCTTTAATAACAGTAGTGTTAAGATGACTGAACCATTTTGTTATTTATGACTCATATCTTTCCACTAGATGAAATTTTTTCTCGGGGGTGAGGCCATTGATTGAACGAGGTATCAAGATTGCAACAACATTCCTATGAGAGAGCTGGAACAAGGGCACGGGACCTGTGATGGGGTAGAATCTCAGAATCGCGTCGCGTGCATAGTCGCAGTACGTGTACGAGTCGAGTAAAATCTGCACGCCCGCCAGCCATTGGAACCTTTGCAGTTGAACTCAACTATTTCTTCAAGCAGTTAATAGATTAACAAGAATTAAGTAACGAAGTTATTAGGATAACATTATTTTCAGTGGAGTAACCAATTGTGAAGTAAAATTATAGAATAACTGTGCGAAGGCAGCGAGGTATATACCCGTAATAGCGCAGTGGGTAGCGTGTGTTCCTCCTAAACTAGAGAGCACTTTATCGCTGAAGTTCAAATCCATGTATGGATACGCTTGCTTTCGTACTTCGGCTTAACTACCATTCCTCGTCTCCTATGCCGTGCTAGGTAACGGGCGCAGTGACACAGAATATAAAATTAAAGTTGAAAAATATGTTTACTAATCGGTAGTTGCAACGGATACCAGAACTTATACAACGCTGTCTTGAAATGACTACACTTACGCTAAGAAAAACATCGGTGTGCAATCGGATGGTGATTTAAGTTAGGGGTAAAGTGTAACACGGATCAAATATTAGAGCAGGCAAATAACTGCAACACGGCAACTGGACTGTTAGAACATTTCAATGAAAGAACAAGATTTGTGGAGCTTATAGCGTGTAAAATTGAATTCCAACGCATGTTAGTTAGCCTTGTTGTAACGTATCGCTATGTGACAGCTTTTTTTCTATATTGTGTTGGACTAAGTAAAAGATCAGCGAATTAAGCGCGCAACAAAGTCCGAAGATCCGTCTAGTATCTACTGAAACGCCTGTAACGATGCGGGTGACGGCGAACACCCGATATTCAAAGGGTACGCATTTTAAATTAGCGGAAATTTAATCGTCATTCTACCAAGGCGCAGGGCCTCATGTATCACACATTTGTTTTGAGCGCTGCAATGGTATCAATTTAGTTTCGTTAACAAGTAGTTCGGAATCTACAAATAATGACCCAGGTTCTAACACTTGTCTGCGACAGGTTCACGCTTATGATGGGTCCAACGCATGTCAGCATCAGCAAGTCCTCTTGTGGTGATTGTTAGGTAGTTGGAGTTTGAAAGAAGCGCCCGTCGAGTAGCATGTACTTGAAGATTCGGTAGAAGAGTCTGCGACGTCCTGCCCCCAATGACAGGGCAGAGATCGATACTTCAGTTACGAATCATACTTGCCGGTACCCTCTTGAAAAGTGGTGGGAGAACCAGAGCTCTGGTACAGATCTGACAGCTACCTCCTGTACTCTGCGGGTAGTCACAACTCGGTTCCAGGCTAGTAGTAAGCACAAGATTCGATAAGTAAGCCATTCGATGTACACCCCAACGATAACGTTAACAAATTCGCTTGCATTCGTCTCAAATGGCCGTTTTTGTAACTCACATAAACCTACAGATCAGGTACGGTAAATTAGGCTAAAATGCCGATGACAATAATAATACCAAACAAATACGTCTTTATATATTGTTTCTTATATGAAAAACTATTCGTTCGTAAATTGAATAAACACGAATAAAATTTACAGCACAAAGAAGATACGCGCTTGTATTTATTCGTATTCAACTTGCTTTTGATAAATGTCGACAAATACATGTACAACACATGATGACTTATATACACATATTCATCTATATGGGATTTTCATATGAAATAGACAGTGTGCAGGAATCTCCTAAGCGATTGCTAAATCATCGTTAAGATCGGTCTGAGGGACAGTTCGCTGATGTTCGAGTGGGTGCAGCTACAAGAGGACGGTAGGAGCCTTCATCACAATGGAGTTTGCGTTCCCAATAATAACCTTTCCTTTGTAGCTCGCTGCTCGAAATGTCAGGCCGCAGTAGCATGATGAAGTTTATAAAATTATCTCTGCGGTCAATGCTGAAGGGCAAGTGGGCACGGGGCAGTAACGGCATTATAATCCAACAAACCGAAAAGTAGGCTTGACAAACATCAGGTCTTTGCCTCAGTCTCGCACAAATTGACTTCAGTAATAGCCGCGGGCCGCTATCGCGTGCACTACGTACACGTGTTTAAGAAGTATGTGACGTTTCAATCCCAAATTAAAAGCCAAGGTTGATTTCTTTTAGCAAGGCGCTAGAAACCGATAAAGAATAAGACGATTCAATGCTTTTAGCAAAACCATATTTTGGTTATCAGTGCCGTCAGTGTCAAACTGACAAAAACGTACGGTGGCGCTGCCCGATCTATGAGAACGTCGAGAGAGGAACGGAGCACGCCTGGCACCGGGAACGGTTTGCCGCTTATCCAGGTTGTCTCGAACAAGATAAAAGACAACACCAAACAGTGGAAAGCTAAAGATAGATCTAAAAAGAGTCAAAATTTGTGAGACAATAAGGGTGGAATTGTGTGTCCCTCATAATATCTAGTAGCTCGTATAAATGTCTATCTGTATGAAAGCTATTACAGGAAGGCTATGTAAAACTTCTAAGCTAAGCGAAAGCTTAGATAGATATAGATAGACAAAAACATGTTTATTTTTCGAAAATTAGTGGACAGCTTGCCAAAAAGTAAATGATCTGGTTAATAATAAGAATCACTGTGTTCTTTAATGCAAATGCTTTGCCAAATTTTCGTAAAGTATGTGTATCTGCAACGATACGTTTTTTGTTGCCGCTCGTTGGGGGTGGCGTCGTGGTTTTCTGCTCACTTATAGAGAGAGATTCTATTAAAGTAGCGATTAATATTATCGTGGGAAAGATCCTATTGCATAGTATATGCTGATATTGTATCCAATGTACGTTCTAGCAAATAGTTTACATTTTTGAGTATTTTACATGTTATTCTCGCTCACATGATCCGAGGGGAATAATTTCAACTCATATGATGAAGGCATAAACCTATCGAGCATCTGGCTGCAATATAAATGAACGGAGTAAACACAAGAGAATCCTGATGGTCTATGCGTACATTAAACAGGTGCTTCGTATTCATAAAGAATTTTTTCATACGCGCTCGTGTGATTTACGAGGCTCGAGTGCCCTTCATCAGGCTCATTTTTTCTGTTATCGAACAGCGGTTCTATAAAATAATCGAGTCTTAAATAGAATCCGTAAAGCGCCTTTGCTATGCACCTAGTGATTTTCGAATACATCCTCCGTTAAGATAAATATCTGTTTCGTCTTCCCGAGCAACTGGACTCTCGTTCAACAAACAGAATTCACTGAAATTTTCAGGATCGCCCTAAGTTCGGAGAGCTTGCTTACAGAGTTTTTATGGCGGTATCCTTTTCTAGGCGATCGTGTTGCACTCACCTACTGTTATTTGGAGACAATTGATTTTTCTTGCCTGCTACCTTCCTTGTAATGTAACTTGTATCTGCTACACGGCCCTACCTAGTGCAGATATTTTTTGGACATCTTCTGAATAGAAATCTAATTTAATAATCACAACACAATTTGTTTCTTATGGATATGTTCAGAGTAGCGTCAACATCCCACTGGCTGGAACTAGGCATGCACGATGTAGTGAAACCTAACTGACATTGCCGAACGCAACGGGTTCGAGTATTCTGATCTGACGTGGAAAGACTTCGAGTCGAGTGAGACGCGCGGGCGCACATGAGTGTTCCCCGTATCCATGGAAACGGGCAACTCGAGACTACTATGGGGGTAGAGAACCGCCGCCATACGCAGAGCCATCAGAGGACACAGGTGATGTATATACAGGCTTGTTTCAACAAATGGAGGGTCCGTTTACAGATTGCTCATTAGATGTAATACTGACGAAGTTTGGAATACTTACGTAAGAGAGATGATGCTACAGTCAACATCACACGTTGTCTTCGTGTAATAATTAAACAGTTATAAAAAATAGAAATTTCGAGAGTGCTTCAGAAAGCACAATTACTCCAAAAAAAAAATCAGAGAGATTAAAATTAACGCGAATCCTAGTACGCTTGAAAAAATTGAATTTAACAATGCCAAAAGCCCGTTATTGCACGAACACCTTTTATTAGTTTCTTCTTCTAGGTAAAAAATGTTATTTCTATTTTTGAACTTTTTTTTTGATTTTACATTAACCGAATACGTAGTGACACCGAATATATCTTGCATAATCATGCGTTGCGTATTATATTTAGGATACACATTTATACAGCTACAAGCGATTCATGGATTGGGCACATGACACGAGCGCCACGTAATGACGCATTTAGTGTAGTTTTGTCCTTCGCTTTTCACACTTCGTCGTAGACTGTGCTTGTTATGGCACCATCAAACTGAGGGGACTGTAGTTAACGGATAAGCGGAGACAGTAACGGTAAGCGTGCTGCATCCAACGTTTCTTCGCCTCCTATCGAATCATGCCTTTTATTCTTCCTATTCTTCACGACGTTCGTTGCTACGGCGTCTGCGCCGACAGTGATTATATATATATATATATATATATATGCGAACACGCTGTTGCTAATAGGACGTTAACACAAAAAGCTGTTCATTTGTATTTAATTTCTATGAGTATACTGTAGTGTGAAAACAGAAATACACGATACTTGTAGGTAAATAAGGTATAGTATGTTTTTTATTACACGTCTTGAACACGTCTTATTACACGTCAATATGAACTCTTTTGCTCAATAATGTGCTTCCATAGAAGCAAAGCTCACCTACATATGCTCTATTATTAATCTTAAATATCCAAGAACAGCCCCCCTATCTTTCCACTAACTGATCATGATTGTACAGTGCACTGTATTTTACAGAGTGAGAATGATATTTCACTGTTTGAATCTATGTTCTGAGCCCTACTCGATAGTGGTGATCGTCAGTAGCAAATAATTTATGTAAAGAACCTTCTTGGCCCGTTTGCATGTTGTTATATAATTGAAGCTCAAGTTCTGTGTTTTTCAAACTTGAAGAGCCTGACACAAGTCAGTTATTATCGATGACAAGTATGATTCTATATAATAATGTTCTTTGCGTACGGCCTTATGCCTGTGCTTTATTTACTCTTTTCTTGCTTTGGGCACTATTTAATGAAGCTTGATACTGCACAACTATGGATGGTTAAGTTGGAAGATGACACATGCCGAAGAATAGTAAAAGCACATATATTTAGCCTATTCATTTCATGGATAATTCTGCGCACCGTTTGGATTTTAGGCCATGCTTCTTTTCCACATAGCAGGTGGTACAGCAAACTGTTATGATTCAATAAATTTTACATCTTTTTACTGGTATTGTGTAAAAAAAATAATTAGTCATTCAAATCACGTCCATCTATTTAATTTAGCGAATTGTGAAAATACCTCTCAGCAGCAGCATGCTTAATTAATGCGTAAAGTACCGTTAAGGAGGGGAGTCACTGTTCCATGATCTTCTTCGATGGCGATACGAATGCAGGTAACGTAAGAAATCAGGCACACTCGCGTAGCAAATGGTACTACGAGACTTAATTCCGTCATTAATAAATATAGCACTATTTACAAACTGGAAAATAATGATAGCGTATACATTGTGCAGGCAGCATCTTAGGCGTTCACAAGAACACGCTAAAGGACAAAAATTAAAAAAACACGCATAATCTACGTAGATTTTCTGTAAGGCAATGCACTTTTTCCAAAATTTTGGAGGAACTTTTTCTATTAACGTATTCGGTTCCCGTTTTCAATAGGCAGCTCCACATTACACATTCATAGTCAGCATGCTGATTACAATAAAAAATTCAGGAACCATGCACACTATGACAATTTGAAATTATGAGCAGTTATCGTAGATGTCGTGGGTATACTGCGATTCCCAGTCACGCAAAAATATGGCCTTTAATTGCTGTTGTATCTGTTCTTGAAATATGTGGATTCCGACGCCCGCCGTGTAGGTGAAATAATCGCCGGACCAATTGGATGTTCCAATGAAAGCTCTCTTATCCGTTACCATATACTTGTTATGATTGACACGCGAGAATGGAATAATGCGGTTACGGGACAGTGGAGGTACAACGAATTTCTTCGTTTGAATGCTGAAAACCTTCCCAAGCTCGCCGAGGCTAGCGACAAAAGCCTTCATCTCCGGCTTCGTACTTTGCCACTCGCTGACAAGAAGACGCACCTGAACCTTCCGCTCGATAGCCGCTCGCTTTAGCGCTGTCTCGAGTACCAGCCATAGTTCGCCTTTTTTCGGGCTATCGTAGATCATCTGGGGATAAAAATCCATAACTGCGACGTAGATGAACTCTTCGGCCTCGTTGATACCAGCAAGAATCGACTCCAGATCATCGGAACGCCCTTTTGGGCTGAACGGAGGAGGCGAGCTGGAGATGTACACCTGCGCAGCTGAGTTGTTCAGATTAACGGGGAGAGGCGTCTTAGCGTTGTATTGCGTAGAGAAGCTATCTGGCCAGTTTGACGGGACCGTACCCAAAACTCCAACCGTCCAGTAGATCTCAAACACTTTCTTTAAGTCGAGAGCCAGCGACGGACAATTATATATAACTGCGCCCAACTCTTTCACCTGAAGAGGACATAATATATATATATGATATATAGTAGGCTCAATGAGCTTCAACAACGAAGGTTACCTTCCAAAAAACGTAGATTCTTAGATGTCCGTATTTAAAACCACTCTCATTTGTCAAAAGAAACAAGCTATAAATTTCATTAAGAATTTAGCGAAAATTTAGAGGTTATTGAATATGTATATTAATCATAATACAAACGGCGATAATAAATAAGCATGAGAAGAACCCTCAACATAAATGACTTAAGAACGGTACGACTTTGTCTTAGGGAGGACATCTATCCGGTAAATTACCATCGGCTTGTTACAAATATGCAGTCCATTGTTTTTGCCAATATTAGCGCCAAAAGGTTTCCGTAATTTCATGTAGTATTTGGTGATGCACCAGTCGATTCAGAGGTGGATTGCCAGAAGTAATTGTCTAAAGTGCACGTCTTCCCCCATTTTGAAAAGAAATACCAATGACTATTTGAAGATTTAAAAAAAAATCCATGTAAGTGCTTTTAGCCGAAATCGAACAGTTTCGTTAGAATGATTGTTCTTATTGTAAGATAAATTTTGAATACCAAAAATTGCAACAGGTAACGCAAATATGCGACAACCAATAAATACACTCAACGGCTCAAAAGTGTTCTTTTGAACTGAAAGATGGAGTACAAACAGATTTAACAAAAAAAACTTAATAGTGTTCTACCCGATAGGACAGCTCTAGTCTCGAAAAACTAGGACATGATCTCGTTGTGTTTCAGAGAAAACTAAATTGCCTCTTTTAGTGCCTCAAACGGTAACAGCTAGAAAATTAAAGAGCCTGCTGAGGAATTTACCTGGCTAAGCGACCGGTAATCCATATTTGCGCTGCCGATGAAGATGTGGGTATCGTCAACGACCCAGAACTTTGTGTGAAGAAGTCCAGCACCAAAAATTTCATCAAAATCGAGTGTTTGTACATCGGCAGCTCCTAGCTTTACGAAATCTGCAGTGTCAGTAGCGGGATTAATCTTTGAAGGTATGTTTTGGACGATGCGAATTTTAGCATTGCCGCGAATACCCGTATTAAGCAGAGCAGCGAAAACTTCTTCACCCATCCATGACGAATTATCACCTATAACCAGTACGTGTATACACCAGATACCAACACAAATACGCTCATTTCATGTTAGAAGCTATAAACGCTAATACAACGTTTCCTCTGCTCACCATTCAGCCCACGCTTATATGTATGTGCCCCGCCTCAAAAAATGGCCAGGTGTAATGGGCAATACAAAAAAATCAATCAGTTAAACCTAAACGACATTTTTTTAGCCAATATGGCGCCTGTATGTTGTATCCTCAATCCAACCTGGTTGCACGGTTCTAGTTCACTACTAGCTATACCATATATTATATTATAATTACACACTGCATGTAATACCTGGAGAGATATCCTTGTTTCGAAGTGTCCAATAGAAGGAGGCAATGTCAATATTACTTTGCGCTTTGCTAATGAGATTCATCCATGTCTGATGGGTGGTTGGGTGTACTGGAGATCCGCTAGGAAACGTTAATTCTTCAGGGACGCTCTCTACCAGCGAGAAACAACAGTCGTCAAGGCCTACAGCGACGGATGTACGGAGTGCTAACAATGGCACCAACAGGAGGAACATAGAAGTCTAAAAAGAAAATCAAAAATCGTTAGTAACAGCTGCTGTATTTAGCCGGTGGCAGCAAAAATTATGACTGATTTACTGAGCTCTGTAAAGATCACTAGCATATGACTGAATGATATTCACAAATTGCCGTTACCTCGAACGATATTTGCCAGCAAAAAAAGATTAGCGTGTTTGAGCCTAAACAAGGAGGTGTTTCAAAGCGGCGCTGATTCGGTACAAGGCACGCGTTTCATCTTCACTCTTGTACTTTTACTTATTGGACATAGTTTAAATAAGACACAATGTGTGATGGATAGATACACAGTTGCTGCCTCTTATCATGCTATACTTGTAATCACTTGAGCGGACAATGCACCTGGAACATCAGCAGCAGTGGATTTGTAAATTCGCGATCACGGAGTATCTTAGCTAGACAGAATGGTTAAACACAACGCGGCAAAGATCTAAGATGGATAGGAAGAGTGAAAAAAATCTTTCGTGTTTATCCTTCTCCTACGTTGCTTGATTAACTCATCTTACTTCAGCCCAGAAATGTCAACAATAAAAGCAATAAACATGTTTATATTACTAAACTTGTTGATTCCCATCACTCAAAATACAATATATTCCTCATTTACTACTACAGCGAGCTTCGATTATAATTGATCAAGGACATCAAGGAGATTTTAGGCTAAGGTGAATAGAGCGATATTGATTCGATGTAAAATTTCGTGAAAGCCAGTGCGAATGCCCAAGGCAGCTTTATCTGCATACAGTCGTGGCACACACGATAGAACCCAATCCTCTAAATGCCGTTCGGCAGGTCATTTGTTTTCCCACCTGTTTTTATCGCAGTGGTTAAGCATTTCACACCAATTGTACAATATTTCAATTCAGATTACCTAGTTCATCGGACGAATTCGCTTTGGGATTTCGAGCCACTTAAGTAACTTAACATTTAAAAAAAAACCTGCTATATGCATCACATGAGTAAGCACTTCGTAGAAAACTTCAAAACTGTAGAATTAACCTAAGCAACTGTTTTCTTAGGAATCGTGTAGGGCACCTCGGTGCAGCCCGAAAAACGCTGCGGCCCGAAAAACGCCACTACATTATAGGGATAGAGAATAAGATACATTGTTCTATTTTTTTTATAAATTGTAAAGGGTATTAACTTACCATACTGAGGCGGCTTATGTATTGATTCGGTCGTTTGTAGATCACTTTCATCAGTCTTCTACTCTAATTTTTTTTTAAACCACACGCGAATTAAGACACGATCAGTCAGTCGACAGTGCTATTGAAAGATGTTCAATAGGTCATATTACTTGAGGCGTTATTCCAGGGGGGAAGAGTTTGACTAATCATTTGGTTGGAACAATATGGACAGATGGGGGCGCACTTCTCTACGACATATTACCTTCTACTCTTTTGTGTAGCTTCAACTCGCACGTTCAACAGCTCACGTTTAACAAATGTTTTTGTTAGATTTGAAATTTCTACCGCTTGCTTGTCGACGTGTCGAATAGATATTTCTTATATTTGCATTTCACATTTGGGTTCACTCTCCGGCGCTCTCATTTGGTACCAGCGTCTCCCAGCATAAAGTGAGAAGATAGACTAATCTAGTAGTCGATGTTAAGTACCTGATTAACCATGCGATATATTAAACAACGATGCTGCAATACCGAAATACATACCATTAATTGTTTATACCATTTTGTAATATACCACGCAATAGAAGAAGTAGCACTTAGCATCCGTTAGCGGTTACGTTATCCGTGATATCAGGACTGATTGTATTTTTGGCGTTGTCCCTCACTGCAGACGTATTATATCATCGTCTGTACAATTGCTTTGCTTTGTGTGTGTAGTGTGCTTTGCCTGAGTGCGAACAATCGACGTCGAACGTTTCCGTACCATCGACTTGTAATATAATTGTTTTCAAGTAGTTTGCCTCTACACAGAAATAAATATAAAATGATCCTCATGAACAGCGTCCATTCACACCTAGCTTGCGCAATAGATGTATTGCATTTTTCAAATTCCAAACCTGATAACAGTTCTATATTTTTAGATCATTTTTGCTTGTTTTTACAGCAACACATTAGCCTAGACAAACAGCAAGGCGTCTAACATCGGAAGTTCTACGAATTTTATTTAATGCAAGCTTTATAATACTAGCAGGATATTTTGCGCGAGTAGTGCCATTTTCATATTGAGGGTGAAAGCTTTTCAGACTACACTTGTACACAAAGGTAATAAATCACTTTGTCGTTGGCTGGCAGAAATGAATGCCTCATAACCGGTGGCACTGCGCTTATATCAATGTGTATTTACTCACATATTTATATTATGATAATTGATCAGTTACATATAGGTACAATCACCGTATCCACAAGACAAAATACAAAAAGAGATTAAGTCATAAATATTTTAAGCCGAATTTTTAATTATTTACCCTTGTACAGCTTAGCTAAAACATCAAGGAATATAATTACAGTTTTTCCAGCTGGACCGATTGAATGTTTCCATGATGTGGAGGATCTTTACTCTGTTTTTAGTTGATATCTGCTTTTTCAAAATCATTACCCTATCAACGTCCTACGTGCATAATGAGACGCAAGACACCTGATTAATTTTTTGCAGCTTTTTTATAAGCAACTGACGTTCTATCGTTTTATTTGCAACCATTGTCTGACGATGATACTTCTAAAACCCGTATGTTTCTACATTCGGGTCTACTCGAAACTTTGTCAAATGATAGATCTTGTAACTTTGATCAAGCGAAAACGCTTCTGCGTTAATATATATACTGAGTTCCTGCGTTCTACTGACGACCATCAAGGAACTGATGATACACTCCATGAGGCAAATCGGACTAGGCAGTTTAACGGAATTTCGTATCACACATACGACAGACTTTGCCTTACGGCGTGCTGTACTGGTTAGCTAGCGCGAAACAATGGTAACATCATTGTAAAAAATGAAGAATGTTCAATTAGAAAGACGCTGGCATCATTGAAATCGCAAAATAATTCTAAGATTTTCAGGTGTGAGAGGCGAGTGTGAAACGATTGTGGTACCTTTGGATCCGCTAAAACGGCTCGATATTTGAAAGGTCCGTTTGCGGGTCTCCAACAGGCGGGTGCGTTTATCGTTTATGATATGGAATCTCGCGGGCAGGAAAGAAACAGTTTCAAAATGTCAAAAAACAGTATTCAAGGAGAAAAGAACCAGAACATTAAAGTTTACGTACGATGCCGGTAAGTGACAGGCGTTTGTAGTATGTGTAGAATAGTGAGCTAAATAAATACAGACACTGTGTTGTCTAAAAGGGCAAACATACTATGGTATTTTAATTCAAGCGTTTACACTACACTATTCATTCGATAATTGGAACTTCACCAGCTCCAACTTATTTAATGATTAGTTGGTTATAAAAAGTAGATTTTATACATTCGACTATGATGCATAGTCCTTGCCCACCGGTGCAACGTAATCCATTACGCAATGATTACTGGCTCTTAAATGTGAGACTGGGTAAACAAAATTTAATATTTAGGGTAGACTAGTAAAAAGAAAACTCAATTTGTATTTGTTTGATGTCCGATTCGAACATATTGCTGTATCATTGTCAGAGCTACAGATAACTAAATTTCGACTTATTGACCAATGCTTGGCGTAATCTTTTGCGCACCTCCTAATTGTTTATAGTAACTTGTGTTTCAATTTAATGCTAGACCGAGAGACGCATCGCAGATATTGTTCCTTTGTAAGGCGTAGTATTATCTCACAAGAATATTGTGTAACGTAAGAAATCTATATTATATCTATCTTTCTTCTACGATTCTGTCTATTGTATAACAAAACACGTCATCGACACGCTCGCCGTGAGAATGATTTATATGGTGGCCTACTCCAGAAGTAGTAGTTCATTGAATGATAGCGTGAACAAGTGGCAACCTGTGGCCAAATACAGCTTTCACTCTGTCACGTATTAGGCTACCGAATATTGGTATATAAAAGCAGACCAGGATAAAAGGAGATAAGGGGTAATTGATCGAAATTATAAGAAGTGTAGAATAATGATAAGAATACATCTGCATGTAGCTGCGTAGTAATGATGTGAGGATATAAAGTAGGATTTGCAAACGGAAGTTGTTAATTTTATAGATAAATTGAGTACGGGTTTTTCGGTTGCGGCTTTGGGTGTTTTTGTCTATTTGCTTGCCTTTTGTAGCCCTGTGAACGATCAGGAACGTAAGGCGCGGAGCCCCATGTGCGTTGATATGCATGAATCGAGGCGTGCTGTTACAGTGAAAAGTCATCATGACAAGACATTCACATTCGATGGGATCTTTGGCAAGGATTCATCGCAGATCGACGTCTACAAAACAGTTGTCCAGCCTCTTATCTCTGAAGTTCTTCAAGGATACAACTGTACTGTTTTCGCGTAAGTCGTCTGGGCAGTATCACTTCTCTCAGCATTTCTGCGCAAACGCCTGTGGTGGCAAACACCTATGTACAAATAGAATTTAAAAAGAAATTTGGGTTACGGTTACATACGATGTAAAACTAAACAAGTTCGTGTCGACCGTTTGCTTTAGGTTCACAGCCTCTACATATGAGCATCTTACGGATTACGTGTTTTTTTATAAGCTAAATATGGTTCTTCGGTATTGACTGATGAATCACGTATACTTTTCAGATACGGCCAAACTGGAACAGGAAAGACCTATACCATGGAGGGAGTACGTTCAGAGCAGCTACTGTCCTGGCAACATGATCCTCATGCCGGAATCGTGCCCAGGTAGTAGTTATTTAACTATTTTTTTTGTTCTAGGAAAACCAGCAGTGTGGCAAATTTGAGCATGTTAAGTGTTGTTATGTTAACTTATGTTGCGAATTTTACCCCACTATGCGAAGTTTTCTTAGTTGCCAAGCAGGCTGTATACAAGCCCATTAGGTAACGAATTGTATATGCTTAACATAAGGGTTTTCTCCGTGGTAGTCAGTTCCAAGTGTTGCACTAATCATGTATATGTAATTACTCTGCAGAGCACTCCATCAGATCTTCTCAGAGGCGGGTGACCCCGGTCTGACAATAATCAAGGTTTCATTCCTTGAGCTATACAACGAGGAGCTATTCGATCTTCTTGGCTCTGGTGACCACAACACAAAGCTAAAGATCTTTGAGGATTCTTCAGCAAAAGGATCGGTTGTCGTACGTGGCCTCGAGGAGGCGATCGTCCGCGATCGGCAGGAAGTATACGCGTTGATGGAACGAGGCGCTTCAAGAAGGCAGGTTGCTGCCACGCTAATGAACGCTTCTTCCTCGAGATCGCATACCATCTTCACAATAACCGTGATTTCAAAAGATACAACGGACAATGGCGAGGGTCTCATGCGCACAGGTAAGCTGAACCTCGTCGATCTTGCTGGTAGCGAGAACATTGGACGATCGGGCGCACAGGACAAACGTGCCCGTGAAGCTGGCAATATCAACCAATCCTTGCTGACTCTGGGACGTGTAATTACCGCGTTGGTGGAAAGGACTCCGCACGTTCCCTACAGGTATACTATTTTAAGGTGTTGAGTACCCCTGAATCGTTGCGAATATAGTAAAAAGATGCACGCACATTCTGTCTACAAGCATTTACTTTTAATCAAACTTAACGTTTGAATATCAAATTAAAAAGACGAAGGCTTTTCTTAGCTATGAAAATCGTCAACTCAGTAGAATACGATGAACCGTGACAGTCCCAAGATTCTCGTTTTTTAATTGATAATTGAAAACATAATGCTGAGCAGACCCAAAATAGCAACTAGCTAGTTCGTCGAAATGAAGCGTTCGGTTAACAGGGGCGTGAATTACAAAATTGATTAAAATATTATTGAAAAGATGAATTTCTTATTATTTTAAAATTTCAGAGAGTCAAAGTTGACACGACTCTTACAAGATTCACTTGGCGGTCGTACAAAGACCTCAATTATAGCAACGGTTTCGCCTGCTCAAGTAAATATTGAAGAGACTCTATCGACGCTGGAATATGCATTTCGTGCGAAGAACATCACAAACCGTCCAGAGGTTAACCAGAAACTCTGCAAGGAAGTTGTACTTAAACATATGACTGATGAATTAGAACAACTTCGTCGAGATCTTATTGCCTGTCGTGAAAAGAACGGATTTTACATAGATGAGACCAACTATCGGTAAGAAAATTTTAGACAATTGATCGGTTACTGTTGTGGTTGTTATTAATGTCTGAAGATAAACGCATGATTTAATATATATGTACCAACTACTAGCCGAAACGTATTATCACCCCGTGCCCATGGCAAAAAGTACTTTTTGCCATGGGGCATTTTATGCCATTTTATAAATAATCCCCCATCTCTCCAGCTCTTGAGGTTTTATGTATATTGTAGCGTGCTTGTGTTGAGCTGGTGTTGTTAGCGAAAGTTTGGCTATTGCTTGATAAATGTTTGTTATTACAGTGAGATGCAGAACAGGCTCGATCTTCAGTCCGAGGAACTCCAGAAAAAAGCGCAGGATGCTATTGAAAGTGCGGAACGTATCGATCTGTTAAAAACGCAGATAAACGAAATCAATTATCTCTTTGAAGAGGCGCAACACAAACTTGAGCAAAAAACTCAAGAGATGCATCGTGTTCAAAGCAGGTGGGAGTGCAGACAATTGTTGTGATTCACTTTGTATTCTCATCTGGTCTATACTTCATATGAATATACATTAATGGTGTACGCTAAGTGGCGACCCGTGTTGGTTAACTGGGTGTAATGGCTACTTACGGAAGACGAACTCTGAAGGCAAACTTAAGCCTAATTTTTTGTTATAAGAACACAAAAGATTCCGAGTATCTTCATGGGCTATCGAAATTGGGTTCTGTAAGGTCGGGTCGCTGACAGCATCGGACACGTACATTCCTTTCTTTGCAGGTTGAAGGAGGTAAACTACAACTATACAGGAGCCAAGGTCCTTGTCAAAGCGCACAAGATTACTGAAGAGAAGCTCCATGAAGACGCGACGAAGATGATGCAGTGTTTAAAGATGGCATCGACCGATGCGAAACTCTTACACGACAAGGTGCAGCGACAAAATGACATTGCTAGACATAACGCCAGTGTTGTGGAAAAACTTATGGGTCAGTAGTAAAAAGACTAATCGGTTCTAGTTGCACAGGTCTATGTGAGATACACGAACTCTGTGATTGTAATTCTACTGGTTTTATTTAGAGACTCTGACTCATCGTTTCGTTTCAAAACAACCGCGTTTATCACTTTATTCTAGATTCTATTTCAAGTACTTCTCATCTTTGTCCACGAATACTTAGTCTTTTGCGATATCCATATCCTCAAAGGTGTTCTTTCGTCGAGTCTGGATTCATCATTGCGCGGTGTGGACAATGCCTTCTCCTCGTTGTCTTCTGTTAGCGATCTAGGAAAAGACGCGATCCAAAGCTTAATGGAGGAGGGACGCCTACTCAGGGAAACCGACTGTGTTGTAGGTCATATAGTGCGCACACAAGAGAAGCGCAGGGCCGAATTTCTAGCAAACTTGATTGAGATTGAGAGGCGTGCGGGTGATATTTCTGCAGCTCTACCGAAGCATAAAGACCAGCTAATTAACAGTGTTGATGAGGCTTATAATAAGATAAAAGAAGCCATTGCCGGACATGTTGTATCGGAGGTCCGAAAAATTCGCAAACAAGCGGAGGACGGGATTGATAATTTGGTAAAAATGTTGAATGATTTGAAATCGTCCGCGGAATTATTGCAGGAAACTGTTGGCAAAGAAATGTTTCAACTGGACACTAGGACTACAGAAATGGCTACGAGGTTAGTAAGATTTAATGATCCAGACCCAGGTCATTGTGCAATAAGAACAATCATTATTGATATTGATTAGTCACTGATTAACTATATTGTGTTCACTGTAACAGTAACTTTGCGCTTATTTATAGTAGTCTGTTTTTCAGTTGTATAGCTTTATTTATTTAATGCGTTGTACTACTAACATTTTACATGTCTTTGATTTGGTATTGTACTCGATTGGTATTTTAGTACTCTAAAAGCTACAGCGAGTTCAAAAAAACTAATAGTCGAGCGTTGTGATCAGATGGAAGAGTTTATCCGTGAAATGGACGCGCTTCGATCGAAAATGGTTTCCGCTGTCGGAGATCTTCGTGCTTTGCCTTTTGTTCAAGATGAGATCAGTGCGACAGCTGAGAATATTTCCAAGGAGGTTTCTCGTAGAACTCAAACTATAACGGGTGCAGTATCTACCTATAAGGATAACGTATCTAAAGAATGCGACAGTGCTGCAAAGAAAACCCTGGCGCTTAAGGACGATGTAAGCAACAAAAGCTTTGCGAATGTTTATATATTATAAATACAACTTAGCATATGCAACTTATATTTGCTTGTACTTCAATGCATTTTAACGGCGCGTACTTTTCAGATGACCGACAGTGAGAATAATTTGGAGAAATCGGCGGTTGACTCTATGAGTCAGCATGGCACTGATTTAAACATGTGCACTAAGCAAATGTGTCTAGCTTTCAGCAAGACCATCGAGGTAAGAATATATCGTTAGTTATACAATATCTAACTATTTTTCAATGCTACAGCTCTCGTTATTCCATGGTGGTCAATGGAGGAAACGATGTCAAGTATTTTAGTAAGCTAGACAGAGGAGAACAGCGATATCAAAGCTGGAACATAGTACTGAATAGATGAAATCGAAAAACAAATGATTTTACTTTATGGCGCAGATTGCGTATATATGCCCGATAACGAACTTGAGACAGCAACGGTCTTGATCCGGCTTTTCGCTGCTTGAGACACCGTTTAAAACAAAAAAAAAAAGACCCCTGTTAATATATTCGGACATGTTTTTAACGTCGCAGGGTGTTGACGACATTAAGAAAATGGTGGTCTCCGAATCGAAGAAGGTCCATGCCTCGGTCCCATCTGAGCGACGAAGTGTAGTGGCTTTGTGCGAAAAGGTAGCCGACACAGCGAGTCAGGTTAAGACAACTGAGAAGAAACTCCGCGAACTTAAGGAGGAAGCTCTTAAGTCGCTTCGAGAGAATGTAAAGGTAAAGAAATTGACGGTAGACTTCGACAATCGTCCCCTTTCTAGATTCCTTCTAAAAGGACTATTTAAAGATCTGCCAGGAAGCATGAGTGTTATCTTGGTAATAGATATTACATCACTGATAGGCAAACCGGTATGATTTTTCAATTTCATCGTAGATTCAGTCTGATACGATCTTTTCGTCCACTTTTAGGCCACTACCTATAACACACCTGACAAATTGTTTTCGTCGATTGGATTATTTGACTTTACTTTATTTGATTTTACATTACTGCCAGACATATTTCTCGGATTGTCTCACAGATGTGCAAGCCAACCGGGTTGACACCGATGAAGCGAGTTTATGATGCGCCTCGAAAAATAGCGAGCACTCAGCCAGCAGATATACTTTTAAACAGGCTACAAGCACGGTATGAACAAGCATCGCCCGAAGAACGTTGTCAGCTGGACGAAGGGCACAGTCTCCTGTTGGATATTTCCGCCTCTCCCGAAATGCTCGCCCTCACAGATGACAGTTTCATAGAAATCGACGAGCAGGTATGATTTATGATCTCAGTGCTAATCCAATAATAGCTCATATGAATTATTACTATTCTAAATACAAAGAACTATTACACTATTTCTATTACATCTTAATGTACATCCATATGGCTAACCTAGTCATTACGGGGTAGATTCGAAATCGGTTCTATTGAGGACGCTTAAATATTTAAGATCAAAAACTATTCTAAAAGCGCAAGCACATTATTATAAGGGACTATTTTTGTAGCGGATAATCATGAATTCTGCGAGTAAGTAACCAAGGTAGTTGATGACATTGTTTCGTGGTAAAACAGATGGTGTACTTTAGTAAGGTTGTTCTGATAAGACTACAGTAAGTGAAAGTAAACTACTCGATGTAAAACCGCTCCTCCCGTAAGTTTCCGCAGGGCGCAACCGCAGTGGTAGATGTCAACACGAAATACATAACATATTTGGTCCGTATCTCTTGTGTCTTCGTTTTTGGTCCCAGAACAAAGAAAACCATGTCGGGTTCGAATAAAGGATCTAATCGGGAGTGGCCTAATAGCTGGCATAGCTAAGACGAAGCGATTCGGTTCGTCGGGATTTATCGGTTGTAAATATAATGTACTATACCATTGCACGATCGAACTAATTATATTATCTTGGTTTTTCTGTAAATTTTCGTGTACTTATTTCAATTTCGGTTCTTGTGTTGTGCTTTCATTAGATATAACATTCAAAACAGGATATAAACAATACTGTACCTTCTGAGTTCAGAGCTACGAATAATCTTGATAATAATAATAATAATCGTAACCATGTTGATTGAAATAATATCCGAACACAAAAGAAAAAAAAACTATTTTCTCATGAGGCCAACAAAATAAACTAGCTTCAACTTATCGACGAGATATTTAACAAAAGATTTTATCTATTACATATAAATGCAAATAAATGTGTGTTTTAAGAAACTTATCTATTTTACCGTGCTTTTTCTATAACTTTGCTACGATTGTATTGACCGTATGACTCAATTAGTACAGTTAAATAATTAGATACGTGTGATCCTTTTTGTGACTGGTGATGTATTATGATATCTTTAACTAATTATCTCCGATTATTCAACTTTTAATCTGTCTGCTCCCATTAGTTATTTAGCTTGTACTAGCGATCGAGTTTTCTTTCCCATGTCTGGATTATTTTAGAGTCACAGGCTTATATCGCATATATGAAATTCTTTCTATTATGCAGTTTTTAGCTGTTTATTTAATGAAAAAAAAGTTCTTGGAATCATCTATTTCGTGTAGTATGATATTAGCATAAGTATCGCGGCGTTTTACTTTCCGTTCAAATGTGTGATAAAAGTTTCTTGTAAATTGGTATAGCCTTTGCTCCAAGCAAAACAAGCCTCCAGATTCCGAATTGTTTGTTAAATAAGCTTCATTTCCTTAATTAATCAGCATCCCAATTCAAGATTTTCGACTACCGGAGCTTCACCGTAATAGACGATGCTAGCAGAATAAGTCCGTCAAATTTTAAAAAGAATTACCCGAAAGAACCGAAAAAAGTTCAGGAGCATCTCTAGAGTTCTCAGCATCGACCCAAAATAGCCTGGGCCTAAACAATTATTTTTTCAGCTATCGTGATACAACTAAAATGTTCGTGATTGTGTAGCGGTAACGTTTTTGTTTATTAAAGTTGAAGACATACAGGTGCTTTAGGTAGAGGCTTTTCGATTACTGAAAGGAACCAGCCGTTTGAGGCCGTCCTTTAGGATAGCATCGGATGTAAAGCTTGAAACGCCTATTTAATGCAACAATTAGATCCGTACCAATGCCTACATCCTAGCGCACAGTTGTCGATACTTGTAAATCGCTAAACGCAGATGTTTAATATAACACAGCTTTTGAGGTACAACTAATATATGTATATACTCGTTGTCCTCAAAAGCTGTGTTAGAAACTGAACACCTTATGTAATCTAACATATAATATCAAACAAAAATAACTTTATCTTCGCTCACCCTGTATTTATTATTCATTACTGGTTGAAATTCTTAGTAATTTTCGGGTGTTGCGACGCTACAGTATATTTTTGACCGTTTGAGTTTGAGTGCTCGAACCTTTGTTCGTCTTTAACACAGGTTTAAAAAGTAGCTTGAGTGCATAATCGACCACCCGTACCTAGCCTAAATTTTTCTCTAGATAAATCTGCGAACTTAACGATAAACACAAACTATTAACTGTACTCGGTGACCGTTTGCTTCACATTTTTTTCGGAGATAACTCATGCTCATTTATAATATATAAATCAATAACAAAATCGTAAGATATGCTTGAAGGTCACTGTTGTGGGTCTGCAAGTAGATTGTAAGAAGTCTATTATTAAAATCAGAGCATTTCCTGCCTCGTATTATAAATGCACTTGATCATTGAATTTTATCGAAAATGTTTGCTAAAGCCGGTAAATACCAATAGTGAATGTATTTCTTGCATTGGAAATTCTTTCTAAATCCCGCGCATTTGAATGGTCACTGGTGCTGTTTAACCTTAATCTGATATTTCGCCGATTAAGAACATGTTGGCTGTATTCTCTAATGCTTTGAGGTATAAATTATAGCCAACAGAGTGAAGAGTTGTAGCGTGGTGGCGGAATCTCGTAATTGGGCGTTGGCCTCGTTCCTTTGAGCGAGCGATTTACCCTCGCTACTGTCTCGAATAGTGTTTTCTTCTCGCTTCACGGCTGTAGTAGTAGTCGGCCTGAGGGCGAGGAGGAAGTTTAATGTTACTTGGAACATCTTCTATGGGCTTTAAAATCGAATTATATTGAAATGCTTTAAAAGTAGAGAATCGTCATGGACGTGTAGTAGAAAACGCTAGTTTGAGAAAACCAACTCAGATTTGCTTAATTCTAAGTAGATATCCAGATGAGTTACACTGTAAATACTCGATATGTAATGTTGCGTACCCAAGCTAATACGTAATATCTAAGATATCAATTAGAATATGATATTCTAACTAACATGTAGAAGATGAAAGCAATTTATATATCAAAACCTGTGCAGCAAGGTATTCTTTCGTGGGAACGCCCGATATGACACGATAAGAAACTGTGAGCAAATAAAGAATTGCTTGAAACAAGGTTTATCCGCTTTCTAAACATAATGCATTTGCAGCAGCGGTAACTTACTGACGTGCTTGGGCGGGGTAATAAAAAACAAAAGCTTATATATCTATCTAGATGCTGGTACGTAGGCATCGAATTAGTTACGATAAACGACTCCGTGTGATTTTGGTGAGAGGCCTAGTCTAACTGAAGTTAATAAATGAATTCATCATAAACGTCGAAATATAGCGCCTTTTCAAATTGAGTCCAAAAATTTGAACTGCCAATTGCGGTTTGAGTGACCCATGGAACCAATCTCAAATAATGGCTGTACGTCATGGACCTTATATACGTGCACTTGTGGATGGTTTTAGTTCGAGCTAGAAATGTCGTGGGCCCATTTCGATTCTAGATATTCCTTCGCGTAATATGGGCCATTACGATGACGATAGAGCTGATATGAATCAGCCTTTAAGAATTTCGTGTGTTCCCAATGCGTTTGCCGGTTGGTGAGTATTGCACATACAGAATAGGATCCTGTAATCCGTTATATATATATATATATAACGGATTCGGACTTCGTCTATACTACTGGAGCCCAGGACAAAATTGCAACCGTTTCTTGAGGCAAACGATGATTCTATTCATTATAAGCCTTTCCACCAAATCTAATCTATCAACATAGCTATCGATTCCGAATTCAAAAGCGATTACGAATTATTTATAAGAGACGAAAAATGTATTACAATTGAATCCGGCAGAAGTTGAAATTTAGCAGCTTTTAAAATTGGCGCCAGTAGCAGACGCAATTTATCTGGTAAATAACCCAATTTTTTGAGAGCGTGTAAACGAAGACCGGTTAAGTTCACTCCAGGGGAAATGAGAAAATATAGTTCAGTTTCTGGAGAAGTTCTTGTTCACCCTTGCCGTTGAAGTCAAAAAAGCGCTATGGAAATTCATCAAGATTGGTAAAAAACATTAATCTAGGAAGCCTTACACGAAAGCACAGTATATGCAAACATTTCTAAAACGAAGATTAGAGAGTCAAAGACCGACGAGGAATTGATTAGGTCTAGGAACCCGAAGAATAAAAATGCATGGTCGCAATCGAAAACGCCTCCTGCGAAAGCACAGACGGAAGTCTAATGGCTCTGTAGGCTACAACTGACATTTCACAGGTAACATGTTGTATGGTTATAAACCAAATACTAAAAATACAGAAACTAAGGAAAAAATTGCTTTCCCATAAATTGACTCGTAGCCCGTTGAAAATTTATGTACTTGACCTGCGACTGACGGAACTTACGCATACGGTCGCATAGAGGAAAGTCAGGGTAGACACTAGCGACATTTTAGTGACAATGTCGAGTCGATTCGGACGTATATGATAGTAGTTCTTGTAATCAGGACCATCTGCTACAATGGGACACCATCCAAAAATTAATGAATGCAGCTCACTATTTCGAAAGCTTTAAAAAACTTATGGTGTATTAGAACGGCAATCGAAAACAGGTCGTCTGATTATTTGATGACAACGCTTAACATTATCATCATACACGCATTCGTTTCTGGGCCGACCAAAGCAGTATCCATCGCTGGCGTGAACTGGCTCCCTTTAAAATCGATACGAACTCTATACCCTAGAAAGACTAATTGGTTGACAAGCATATCCTACTATCGATTTACTTTAAAAAAAGTTGTAGATAGAGAAGTTACATAGATAAGAAGAGGAATAGTAGGTATACGGTCGTCCAGAAGTTGCAGGAGCGCTGAGACATGTGTGGAAAAATTCACAAAGAGTACGTCTACCACATATGAAAAACATTGTCGTTCTAGAATTCAAAATCTCTTTAATTTCAAAGCGTGCCGAATTCGTTTGTAACAGCCAACAATAATTAGTATTTATGTGCATGTTTGCGGCAGACAGCTTCTGGTTTGTAAGCCCATACCATCTTGGAGTAAACGATCTAGCTACTCGGAAAATTTTTATTCACCATAAAGAGTGCAATAAGCGCATTGTGTAATTGAAAGCCGTCCTCAAACGTAATAAACCGTCGTGTTAAAATCAATATAATAAAACAACGGACATATATTGAGATAGGTGCTGAGTATTTAGATTGTATGCCTTGTAGAATAAGCTAGGTGTTCTAAAAAATAGCTATCTAAACAGGCTTTTACACGAAAGCGAGAGAACATTTAGAAATAAACAGGTATTAAAAATATTGAAAAATGAGATGCAAGAAACGAACGTAGATGTATGGCTTGCAAGAGCGAACAAACAGATTTTGATGCGTACGCTCTTATCGTCGTCGCAGAGACGACGTTAATCCTCGAATTCGCTACGTTGCTAGCTTCAGGATACGTAACGTTGATACAGGCCGTCGTCGTTGCTTTGTCTTCTCCCGGAGCCACAACGACATTTGTCTGTTCTGTATTCTTCACGCTACCGTTGAAGTGATATTGAATCAAGAAAAAATTGTCTTGGTTGAGATTTTGTTCGAGTCAAACATAGAAGCAGAAGGACAGAAATAATCAGATTTTGCAGTTTACAGATCGGCGGATGCAAATTCGATGTACCTATGTATCCGTAGTGCTTTATTATTAGATTGCCTTCCAGTCTTGCTGAATAAGAAACCGTGTTTATACTAACATAGCATATCCATGGTTTCCTGTGCTACGATTTCGTTTACTGACCAATTTAATACAACCAAAGAAAAGTGTGTAACAATGACGGTAGCAACAATAATATTTTTGTTAGGAGATTTTGCTAACCAACATATTTATTTGTAGCGTACTGTCCATATATTGAAATATGGGTCGAAACGGTCGTTGTCGACGGTGTTATTCTCTCAAAAGAACGATCAACAGGTGACAATCTTAGCGTCTTGAAGTTAGCAATTTTCGCTGTCTTACTACCTCTGTCTGTAGAGATTCGTGCTCAATGCTGGCAACACTCGATGGACGCGTACAGACAAGTTCAAAAGTAGCCGGTAAAAAGACAGGAAATCGATGAACACAATCGAGCAAAGACCTTGATCAAGTTTATCAAATATTGCCGCAACTAATATTATTCTGTTGTAAATCTGTCGAGTGCTTAAATCTCTTAGAATTTTTATTTCACTTTTCGCTTGGTATCTAGTGCACCGGTGGTATTCTTGTCCGGATATGAAACCTAAAATTTAATAGAAATAAAATAGGAATATGTACTGGGAAATATGTGATCTTTACACTTGATTACTGACGGCATCGTTTCGTCTGGTCAAGCTGAACAAGTAATACTGATTGATATTCCTTGTGACAGCTGCCCATACGAGAGCAATTCGTCTGCCAATGAATCTAGTGGTCTGTACTTTTTTTATGGCCGCTGATAGTATCTGTGCCCATGCAAGATTCGCTTTCGGCCCGCGTACGTGAGGTTAGCTGAATTGCGTACTCGTACTGCAGAGGTCGTTCCAATGTCAACCGATGGCTGAGTCGAGGTCGGCTTAACATTTATCAATGATATCGCAAAACTCAAGGATCACCCACGTAGAAGCGATAGGGTTCAATAAAGAAAGTTTATTCTTAGCCACAAAGCGGTATTCTTCTTACAGCTCAAAATTGAACCATCGCTTAAATCTCAAAGAGGAAAAGAACGTCTGGTCTCTCTCTCTCTCGTTCGATATCAGTGGTAAAATTAATAAACGAACTGATAAATTATCATTAATCACGTTTAATTTAATGAATCTATTAAACATTTCTCATTATAGGATTAAGCAATCTAATTTTAAAACATCAGATGGATTACAGTTCACAGTTATTTCACTTTATATGTTCAGTAATCTTTTTATTTGATTTGAGTAATTTGAGATTAGAAAAAAAAAAAAGCAGACACTCTTTTGCATGTCCTCAGTCTCTCTATCAATTATATAACGTCTCTTTTGTGATAAATATTATCTGCCAGATCTCTTTACCACGATTTTGAATTTTTACCTGTAAAATAAATAGCGGGAGCCTACAACTCTTTTGAGGATGTCATTTGAAGATCGACCTTGTATATTTAAGCTTCCTCCCTTCAGAGGAAATATCACGCACTGAGTGTATCGCTAGTGCTTGTGATTACGTTGTATTTCACAAAACAGGACTAAAATATAGTTCTTCGCGAAAATGGTCCTCACCTTTATATTTTTAATAACGAGTGATTCTTATTCTACTGCAAGATAACAGATGTTTACCAGATAGCTCTACTAAAAAACACATTTACATTCTTACACACTTCAACGGAATCTACGAAGTATGTAGCTTATTTACGTCGTACTAGCGTGGTTCGGCAAGCGTCTTCCAGCGTCACTGCGACTGACCGTCTCGCTCTCTCTATTAGCCGATTTAACGTCGCTATCCAGCCTCTGCCGACTCATTGCTGTCTAGCTAGAACATTGGCTGGAGTCTGCTATTGCTATTAACGGTATAACGAAGGGCTAAATGATCAAAAGTCGTATGTAACGATCGCAACTGTTTGCGAACAGCCGAATAAGTTAGAGGCACGTAGTGACGAACATGGTATCGGGTGTAAGGTGGCCTTCAGACTGAACTACCCATCATCAACTGGTCGCCGCTATTATCCCCCGCGACTAAATGAGCTGTGTAACGAAGAGATGGCGCATGTCAAACAGTGCGAATGTTAGAACAGCGCTATTTGAATGGGGGCGAAAAGGCAGGCTAAGAAGCTTTTCTCGACCCCCCGCTCAGCTTCAATTTTCCGGGATATGTATTTTGTCTGCGGCTTGTCGCGCCGTTGGTGGGTGGGCGTGTCGTCACGGCTACGTAATGAGCCAGTCAACGCGGAAACAGCACACATAAACCTTTACGCACAAAGCAAAGCTGTTTGTTCGTTTTGAGACCGCCAGGCAAAATAAGAATCCGATGCTATGGATAAATAAATATTAATTTTAAACCGTCTATGTACAGACACAGAATTTGAGTAGATGGACGACAGAATGAAATACGGAAAGTCGTTTAGGTCGGATCGCTTCTTCATTGAACAATGACGGATATTTTTTTAAGAAGATCTGAACGTTCTGTCGAAATGATGCGAGACAATAGTCAAGTTCGTATCTATGTGATTTCGGCTTTCACAATAAATCGACTGCATTTGCTCATAGATCAAGAATGGCCACCGAAGTAAAGAGTAGTAATTCTCAAACTTTCGTCTGATAGTTATATTAAAGATAGCCCATCAGCGTGTGATGGTTTGTGTTACTTTTGCGATATGAAAGTTGGAGTCGGCGAGGCTCTAAAAATGGCTAAATATTATTGTTTATATGCATATATTGTTATAGTTGATACTCTGGTGGCAAAGCTAATAACGGATTCATCTATACAATTTAACATGTTTCCCTTGTGCCGACCAGATCGGAGCGCGCTTCCCTCACAACATACATATTCATCGCCTTTATCTATGCACTTTAAAAGTCTCAACAAAAGACTGCTTTTTAGATTCTCCGGTCTCCCTATTCAATGTAGAAGAAAGGACACTGACCTGTTAATAATAAAAGGCTCCCAAAGACGACACCTTTCGGTTTTTTCCAAAGAGGCCACGGTTACGTTACCTGGCTGAAGGTAGACGATCTTAGGGGAGTCAGGTGTGTAAAGCGGCCAGTCTTCAGATTTACCGGGAACTTTCGGCGTACTGAAAAAATTTGTATAAAAATAAAAAAAAAAGATAGGAATTGTATATCCGTTGTTTAGTATAGTAATACTGACTTTTTCGTCTCCATAATATCGAAAATACGCAGAGTACGTATGGATAAATATCTAAAAGTAAGTCGTTAGGAAGTCAAATCAAGTATTATATATATTATAAGTGTTATATAAGGGTAATAGTCTGACAGTGCAGATTAGCTCTTTCGAAAGAACTGATAATACGCTTGGCAAGCACGCAGTGCTGAAGCCATTTAAGCGTACTTGGGCTTCAAGAGATATTTTTAAAAGATTCCTAAACCGTTCTAGAAGAAAGCCCGATTATACCAAGTGGATCAAGCTTAGGTTGTTTAGTTAACTTATGTAGGGTATCATATGTTGAGTGTTTTCTGTCGAACGCGTCAATTTTGCCTTATCTATTAACGGAAAGTGATTCCGAGTAGCTGGATGGCCAGGTTTTTGGTAGCGCTAGTTTCTGCTGAACAATTACAAGACAGAAGTATTTCAAAAGATCGGTTCACTTTGACGAAGTTCTAGCCTTTTCACATTTAATGATGTTTACGTTGATAACCTTATTGTTATAGAGAAATGTTACTACTCTATCTCATCTACTGTGTAGATTCTCATATCCGTCTATCGGCACGAATGAAATCGTCTATATATATATATATATATATATATAGTTATGGTTGATCACTACCGGTTCATTTTTGCCCATGAATACGGACGAACTAAGTCCAACATCACCGGTTAAGATTTATATGGAGCTCACACAATAGCGATATTTTGAAGAAGAGCATGAACCTGAAGAGCAGAGAATCTCACATGCCTGCTTCTACTTTTATATGCAATGTTGATGGTTTTTCGTTTAATGGTCGGTAATATTCATTCTATTATTATTATCCATATTAAGGCTACCTTTATATGGTAATAGTAATGCGCTGTAAGCCGTAAAGTAGGCCGTAAAGGCTTGGTGAACTATCGCGGAGAAAAATTCGCATTCGTATTTCACCTTCGATCTGCAACTCCCCACTTAATTAAATATTAGTACTCACTGGAGGAAAAAATTTTTGAAATTAATTGAAAAAAACGTACTATAGACAGGAAAGAACCGGACTGGCAGGACTTATTGCGTTAGATCATTACGGTGCCCGTGATTTAGTTTGCTTTCAAAGTTTGTCCCTTCAGCTCTGATAACTTGCGCCAGCTCTGTGGTTTGGCCTTACCCAGATCGAACAAACTGGCCGAGTGATATCAGCAACTTCTTGTCTACATCATTGTCCAAATGAAGCTCGTCGAGAGCCGAACGCTTAGCAAAAAATACTTCCGATCCCTGCGTCGTAGACAGCACGTCCGAGAACAATTTGATGGGGCAAAAGAAATAGGCGTCGGTAAAGGCTTCTCGGCATACGTCCATTGTCGATGAAAACACGAGCTGGTATTCCCCTAAAACTTTGACCGTAATGCCGAAGGGAATATTCAACGATGTTCGTAAAAAGTTCTTGAATACGTGCTTGCAATCTGACGTTGTATCAACTGAACCTGGCTGTAAGCGCAGCAGTTGATTGAAGGTTGGCTGAGACTCGTCATCCTTCATGAGGACCAGCAGGCTGAAGGGATTTGCGAAGTGCTGGTGGGAACCTTGGAAAGGTTCCGCCGGAATAAGCGAATCTCCAACGACAGGCTGAAACGATTCGAGCTCAAAAGCTTGCGAACCTGAAAAATGGAGTCAAGCAAAAGAGCTTATCATTATTTATTATTAGTAACCTCGATGAAGCAAACGAAGACGCACAGATAAGATCACTACAGCAGAGTCGTTCGAAACAAGGATACCGAAAAAGGCGCAATCAAATTTTACCAAATTTTTCGAATAAATGATTGGCGTAACAAATGCACCTATGGTCACTTTATAGCATCAGTAGTTTTAGTTAGAAAAATATTTACTGTTATAGGTGCGGTAAGAACATAAAACCTGAACATCGTTCGATTCTGTCAAAAAAGGTGCACAACCGAGTCACGGTAACAATGAAGTAAATCGATCGTCATTTTGAAAATAAATCATGATTTTCAACTTACTTAATTAATGAAGCAACATATTCCATTGACAAAGTTTTCTAACTAAATATTGTCGACCTAGGGCTGATTACAGGCATTTAAGAAGGACGTGGCTTGTTAGCATGTTGCTATCCGCGACGAAGCGAATCCAACGCGCAGGAAGTAGTGGGCAAAGATCAAGATATGTTTACAGATTTCAGACGGAAGCCTACTTTGACTCTTACTATCTTTAGGTAAGGGAAGATTGGCAACAGTGGAAACAGAAAGGTAGAATATGCGACGCCTCGAAAGGAGTGAACATAATTGTCCGTTGATAATTCGACTTTTCGAAGATACCGCCGTACTACCGCTGGCCATATAAATATTTCCTTTGTAAATATGGTTTGCGCAATCGCACAGTAGGCTAAGACGTCGCCATAAACGAGTACCACTTCAATAGACCTTCAATAGACTTCGACACAGTTAGCAGTAAATGTCTAAACGGCAATCATCCGTTACTCGTTATTCGTTGCTTGTTTGCCAATTGTATACGATCTAGCTCTCGTTCGTTTGCGTTGGCGAGATCAATCGAATTTTAAAAGGACTTACAATTGGAATGAGATTTCTTCTGGGTCTAGTTATTCAAGTATGTAGCTACTGTTGGGCGCTTTTTTAAATCCAAATCACGGCGTATTTGTGGGTTTAAGCCAAATTGAATAACCATTAAATTGAATAAAAATTGTCGGCTTTTCCTCCACATTCTGTCAGTGTAGTAGCTGTCTGAAATTTGTTTTTCTTGAAAGGTTTTAGGCTTGAGCCCGTACTGCCAAAAAGTACAAATATATGCTCCCCTAGGCGTAGGATCGTTATTAAGTTAAACTGTAGCCTGGTATTCAGTTGAAATTAGATTGTTAGTGGCCGACAAGCGTTTTTATGAAGTTTGTGCCGTTCGAGCACAGGCTGTGGTGATTAGATGAATGTAACCCCTGAAACAATGATATATGAACGAAAAATGTAACCTGAACACTCTCTGAGCGCCTTTTTTTGTTATATAAGAGAAAGGTAAACTTCGTATAATAATGTGTAGATCAGCTGTTGGCTGATAAGCACCGAAACAACCGTCGTGTGACTGATTTACAGTTGAATATTAGGTAAAAATCTACGCCTTCCTCAAGCGTCGGATATGGGTAAAGTGGTTTTGATGGCCCCTTGTCTAAGTTGGCTAAGCCGAACTTTCAATTCAGAAAGATCTCAACTATGGAGAAAGTATGGTGGGTCGTCGGTTCACAGCTACCGTTCATTCGATTTATAAGTATTCATCAGTTTGAGAGTTACCTCACTCTTATTAAACTTGAAAATTTAATTAACTTTTTTTGTGATTTACGATTCTACTAATTAATATCATTAGGCGTTTTGTTGCGATATGTATTTCTGAATAGTTCAAACGAAATCTATGGCTGAATAAATTCTCAGTTTTTAATTCAGACGTATAGCTGAAGGATACTACTGCTAGCCGTACAATACAAATTGTAGATGAGATCAAGCAATATATTTGTGTTACCACATTGAAGCGCGTACTTCTATTGCGATTGAGGTCAGCGGTTAAAGATTGCGTAGTGAACAAATAGGTTACCTACAGGTCGCCCTGCTGCTTCTGCAACTAGAAACGCTAGTTCACCGAATAGTTCAGCCCTACACAACGCCAAAGGCCAATATTTGTTTAGTAGAAATTTATATATATATATATATATATATATATACACAGAGATTTAGTTTGGCGTTCTAAAGCCATAAGCAGGTGACATGGGGTTGCGAGTTGTACATCGTTACGTGAAGGCTAATGATGCGTGGCTCGAGCTTCACGGCATCAATTTGCATTAGCGTACCGCATGCGCGAAGGCACACACCACGCGGTGTCGCACACACATGATACAGTATATTGTGTTTGAGCCGCGAATCGAAATTATGGAGATAATTTGTATGAGAGAGTGAGCATATTCGACCCGCGATTCTTATATTTCAACTTTTTAACTCGAGTAATTTGGACAAAGTGAGTGTAATGTTTTCTGGGAGCTGTAAGGACTACGCGAAATAGCCTATTCGACAGAACCTTGTTGTAGGGATAGACGTTAACCAACAAACCGATTGATATCAAGTTAGCGGTCTGACAGACAAGAAAAGCTTAAACGTACTCACCAATAATAACTTCCGGGTGAACCACTTTCAGGCAGCGAATCGCACGTTTCCTTTGCGCTTCCCACGGCATCGAATAATTATAACAACCAGCGTTGACCAACAAACGCATTGTGACGGCTTCGGAGTTCTTTCTAAATGAGTTGCAACTCGTATGAATGCTTCCGCTCTCAAAAATCACCTTCTGCAAAAGGTCGGCCGTAATAGGAGAAGTCATGAGGATGGCTGCCACGGCTGCCCCTTCGCCCCGGCCCCACAATGTGATATCTTCAGGATTACCGCCAAACAGTCTTGAGTTGAGTTTCATCCAGCGAAGAGCTTCGAGAATGTCGTATAGACCCACATTGCCAGGGGCTTCGGGGCTGCCTGAAAACAGAAATCCTAATGCTCCCACGCGGTAGTTGATCGATACAAATACCACATTGCTACTGGCAGCAAATTCAGCACCATCCGGTGTAATGGTTTGTTCGTAGCTTGGTACATAAACTACAATTGAGAGATTCATCCTGCGAGCACTCCTCAACTGAAACGGTTCATCGGACGAGCTGGGTATCCACATATTGAGATACAGGCAGTCTTCACTCATTTCGACCTCAGTCTGACTCGGCCTCATACACAAAGGCGGAGATTTTGTTGCATTGAACGTGCCCGGCATCGGCATGAGCGGAATGGGCTTCATAAAACGTCGCTGACCCGTTGGCGGTTCAGCGTATGGCACACCCTGATACGAGTGTATCGTCTTTCCATTGATGATTTCCTCAGTACCGAGTATTTGACCGGTTACGGTGACCAAAGTTGGTTGACGAGCTAGTGCCCTCTCGGCCAAAGCTATCGCTGCCAATATCGTTAGTAACGACTGAGTCATCGTTGCCTTCAGACACTGTTACAAATACTAGAGAAAACTGTTCAGTCCTCTCTCGTTGATGACAACGATGAGGACATCGGGTCGATCACCATTGTCATTCGTGAAAAGCTTAAGTGCATCATCCATCAAAGATGACACAGGAAATTCATTCTCATATAATCACACCCTTTGAGCATGCACTCTAGCACATTCCTCTAAAGCCGTTCCTGTTTGATAAACTGTCGCTCTACACAGAAATATGCCACAATAACGAAGTCAAACAAACTCAGGAGATCGTTCCACCATCTACACCAACCACCAGATTTCTATACACATCCAATCATCTACATTTGTTACACGGCAGTGTAAACGAATGTAAAAGCACACGCGTAAGTTCACATTGTCGAGAATTGTACTTCGGCCCACGAACTATAAATGTCGATTATAGCAACATAAGGTGCTTGCTGAGCCTCTGTTTCTTCTGTATGCATACGCTTCTTCCGGCTAGCTTCTCTGTGTCATTTAAAATCAAACGGTTGTGTTCACACACGAGCCGGCCTCTCTTGTAACATTGTTACAATAACATACACCTGTCAATGCTAAAGACTTATTTGCCTGTCTGCTTGCTTTTTCAGGTACCAAAACTGGTGCCTTCTATCTATGGTCGGTTGATAACGGGAACGGCGGCTGCGAATGCACTTGCGCCGGCGGTAACGGCTATAGTGTAGCGAAATCCCAGGGAAGTTGGAGGTAGTAGCAACTGCTGTTGTTGTTGTTGTTATGGATTTGCTCTTCTTCGTTTTGGCAGAGTCGTCAGCATAACCAGCGTGATGACGACTATACGGTCGGACTGGCTGGGGGCGCCGGGTAGGCGGGGAAAGCGGGAGAGCTAAGCTACCTATTAGTCTAGAAGAATATAGAGTCAATGAAATAGCAGAAGACAGATTTAGCGCTGGTAACACAGCCGAACCGGTACAGCATCGCTCTGCTTGATTTTCTATTCCATTGAGTTTCGTTTACTATGACGATACAGAGGGTGTAGCAGGAGAGAATCACCGATACTGGCTCTGCAGCCGCAGTGATTAAAACAGCCACGGCAAGAACGATAAGTTCCCGCCAGCACGATAGTCGCGAACGACGATTTAACAACTGGCAGCTTTAATAGTTGAATCCTTATCTACATGATGTGCTTGTCGGCGAAGCAGTTGTTTAGCGGAGCATCCGGAACGCAGCGATCTGCTTCATTGGGGTGTCGCGCGGCGTACGCGTACTAAGCCGCCAACTTGCTTGATTACCAGTTTACTTGGCATGAGCCCCCGCTTTCCAGGGATGCCTCCAAGACAACGTTTGCCAGTGACAGTAGCATTAACAGCAGAGTCAGCAGATCAGCGACTGATGCCACGAGCTACAAAAAACCAATATCAACTACGCTGCTGGGGCGATAATACTTGTTGTCAGGGATGATGATGCTTTACCCTTACCAACATTAACGGCGCAGTCTGAAGACGCTCAAGGGCGCATTGTGGAAGAGTATTGACGTAAAGCGTGCGTGAGGGTAAATTAAATAATAATAATAATAATAATAATATATAGAAAAGGCCTGTGACTGACTGAAAGCTGCATTGAATAAAAGGAAGATAGCTATTACCGGTATAGTAGTGGCCTCCGCTGATTTGCCGACCATCGTTTTCGCTACCAAGAGACCGTATAGGCAGCGACATAGAGCGACCATTGAAAGCTGGCTAATTCGACCTACGCCCACAGGCGGTGCCGAAATATTCATCACGAACCTCCCTGCCCCTTACCTTCGTCTGTTTCAATTACCTCAACGTGCTCACTGTACAATGATCGTACCAATGGCTACATAACGCAATGGCGTCAAAAATGGTTTATCGTTAGTAATTCTTTCGGCAAAAACGAGAAGCTACTAACGATGGATAGTGTTAACGCCACCATCGATGTTGATCCGGAGTCAGAAAAAGTATAGCCAACTGAGCGAAGGAACAACATACAACGTCTGGCATAAAAGGGAAATATATTTCCATAAGATGCTACATAAACATAGTTAGTTTATAGTAGCGAATTGGCATTGTGCATTTTGTTTTTTATTTGTTCCATATGACCATTCGAGTGAGCGTGTACTGCATGATAGCCAAATAGATCTAGATTCTTAAACTATTGCCACACAAGTGTAAAATAACTGAGAGATCCGTGTGATATCAGCTGGCCGTAACAATGATCGGAACAGCTGGCTACGCTCGTTGTTTGTGATGCGTTGTGCGTCTGCTCACTACGACGAATACGTGTATGCGGGTAACCGTAAGGGCGATACAGAATGACTGGCGGGTTTTAAAGATCTATGTGTGAACTTGTCATTATGGCTATGCAGATGTGCGATTGAAGATAAATGAAAAGCGCGGCAAACAAATGCGTAAAGGGTACCTACCACCCAATCAACAATGTCATTTTGCGACCGTCGATTGATCACTACTGCGAAGATCAGTGGTGCTACTGCTACTAAGCTACGACTGACAGGTGGGCAAACGCTGGCGTTTGAATTGTATAAGCCAGGGTTAGTTACGGTGTTGGTCGAACTGTCGATCATGACGCTCAAGTCAACGTTTGCGTAAGAGAGTTACGAAATCATGTAATAATATTTGTCGTACAGCTAGAAGAAATGATACTGTTATTGCCTAGCATAAACGGGTAGCTTGTGTGTGCTTTTTCGTTTGTCTACACAAATGGTTAACAGGTAGATTTTATCTGTCTTTTTTCGTTCATACTTGCTTTGTTACAGTAACATGCTCATCTGCATCATTTTTGTATGCAACGGGGCATCACTTCGCTGCCGACGTGGTACGTACCTTCCTCTGATAAAGGCAGCGATTTGCTGACTGAGAACGCGGCTCAAATCGGCTTGCATTTGTTCCTCGTAGCCGTTAACTGTTAGAGACTGCCAATCTAAAAGCAACGGAAGCTCGCTGAAGGGCATGGTATGCGGATAGTCCAATTCAAAGACACGCACTGGAGTGCCTTCTGTTAGCATTGCGGCTAAGATTCTATCTGGACAGCGATAGAGGAGATCCTGATTCATCTCGATTACTAATTCAACGACCCCCTTCGTGACGTTCTGCTGGAGGTCGGCTGGAGCTGATGGCGCGTATGTCCTAAAGATTCTCCTGTTGTCCACCGACGCAATAGTAAAACCAAATTCACGTTCGATGGTTTCTTTCAATGTGACTAATTTCTTGTCGTTAGGCTCTTTCGATGACAGAAAGCTGACGATGTTTGGCAGAATTTTCGACCCACTCCGCGCATAAGAGCCTAACAGGATTGATTTATCCTTCATTGTGTGGTTTTTGAAGCATTCCGGTAGTTCTATTCCAGCCCTTGATATTGGTCCAAATTTTAACTCTGACCCGATTCTCGATGATTCCTTAGCTTTCAGACAAGCAAGGGATTCTGCTACATCACTGTAGTGGCAATTCATTTCATTAAGGTACAGTTTGAAGGTGCCATCGAATAGGAATCTATTTAACATGAGCGGATTACCCGAGAGAAGAACAACCTTCTGAAATAGCTCTGAGACCGTTGGATCCAGTAGATGCAATCCGGCGGTCGCTCCGGAGAAACCGTATCCTCCAATAGTTATCATATCTTTCCTTCCACCGAATGCCTCGATGTTATCGTATATCCATCTGAGTGAGAGTGCCTGATCCTGAAGCCCGAGTTCTCCGTAAACGTCTTCCACAGATACGTTGAGGAAGCCTAAAGGACCTACTCGATATGAGACTGAAAACACCACGATATTTTCAGTCGACGAAAACATTGCAAAATCAGTGTTGGTTGACGCTTTTTCCCCTAGCAGGCCATCGCCAATAAACCAAATAAGTGAATTTAGATCGCTACTTCGAGTTGGGGTCCAAATATTCAGATAAAGACAATCTTCACTGGCAGAATCGGCAGAGCTTCGTAAACAAGGTGCTTGTTTTTTTGTCGCTATTTTCAAGCCTGACCAAGACTTTACCTCCTTAGCTCGGCTAAACCTCATTGGCTTTTCAGCGTATGCCACACCTAGGTAGATATCAACAAAAGCTTTCCCAGTAGAGACTTGCATGCCAGCTAGGTTTCCCTGCGTAACTCTCACCTTTGGCATCGCGGGAATAGTAGTCGACTTCGGCGTGGTCATTGATGCCGGCGAAGCTTTGTCGTTAATGGGAGAAGACGACAAAGGCTTTTCAGAAATCGTTCTCTCATTGCCTCCAAAGGAATCCATTATCGAAGTTGATATATCATTGGATAAAGCCGGTTGATCATTCTGTATTGGTGCTTCCGTCGACGATTCAGTAGGTATCGAAAATGCAGATTTTGTTGCATTGTCTGCAAGTACTGACGATGGCACTATTGTAAATACTGAAGACTCTGGAAGCCCTTCGTTTTTAGTAGAATGAATTTGTGGCAATTTGTCTGTTTCGTTCTCCGTTGTGGAACTGCGATTAACGGCCGAGTCTGGAGAGACAAGTGTATCGATTTTGCGCTGTGGATCAGAGTTAGGATCCGGAGCTGGTTCTGCGAAAGTCTCCGGACTGATCTCAGAAGCAGGATTGGGACTGGGTTCCGGCACTGGATTTGCGAAAGCCTCAGAGCTGGAGTCAGAAATGATATCAGCTAAGTCTTCAGAGTTTGACTCGGCTACTGACCGTTCAGAAGTTTGTGGCCTGGTATCGGGACCAGCAGAAACTATCTGGTTTCGTCCTGGCATAGGACTTGCTGAAGGTTCTGGATCAACAGGGTTAGCGCCACGTTCTGGATTGAGGTCACGAGCTGCTTCCGAAGGGGAATCGGGACTAAGCTCTGAGGTCGCGTCAACAGATAGTTCTACGCTATGTTTTTGAGAGACGTGCGTAGAGAGCTCTGAATCGGGTTCTGGGGTTGGATCAACAAAAGACTCTGTATTTGACTCAGGAGAAGGACCAGTAACTGAAACCGATATTTCATCTGTATCTGAAAAAGGATTCAGCAACGTTTCAGTTAGCTTAGATAAATCTGAACCTTGCTTACTAAATGTAGCTTCTGATATCATTCCAGATTGGATTGCTTTTTGGGAGTGCATATTATCAGAAATTGACCGATACCCCAAATTTGTCTTCTGTACGTTTGCCATCGCCCGACGTCACCTCGATCAATGGAGTAGACGCAGGCATTGTAACATTAAGCTTGGCTACTATTACTTCAAACGATTTTGGAGCGATGTCAACCGAAAGCTTAGAAGCTGGCAACATACCGATACTCGACCCTATAACGCTCTCCGTTGGTGCTGTTGTTACAGACAGGGCTTCATTCGCTGCTACCGTTGCGCTAGGTACAAAAGCGTCGCTCCTTTGAGGACTTTCCGAGATCTTTGCTGCGTCACAGAGCAGAACAGTTACGACAATACACTGTGTTAACACCAGCTTCCAGCACATGAAAAGAAAAATGAGGTACATCTTTCCTCCCTTATAGTCGCTTCTGTTCTAATACACTTCACGCCTGTCTTGCTTTGGCTTTCAGTAGAAAATAAAATACACCGGCGCGCACACAACGCTCGGCACTCTAACAAGTCATCAGTACAAAGCTAGCCCTACAAATGGTTGAGATCGTTGCTGGCACTTAATGAGAAAAATATTGGCATGACAAATACCACGTCGTCGTTTTACGATAGTTCAAAAAGTTACGAAGCTGCAACCCCGCTTATTGTAGACCCGGATCGCTCTGAAGTTACGTAGTAAGAGTTCATTTAGCTGTAGGTGGTCGATAGCTCAATACGACGTTGCTAAATAGTAAGTAGAACGGCTTGCCACAAGCTGCCGCTCCAATAAGATTCCAAACTATCCCCCAATTCCAGGGGAATAAACCGCAGAATAACTAGTCGACATCGATTGTTCACGGACCCTGGGGAAGCGAAGAGCATCGGATAAGCACACATGCATAGAGAATAAAGAGAATCGTAGCCGAAAGTCTTCGGTCAGTTGAGACAAGGTTAGTATCACAGATTCACGTTGCGATAGTGGTCTGCGCGTATGTAGATTAGTCCACTCATACCATACACGGATATTTGGCATGTTCTCTTTAACGATAAAACGACCTGGGGTTTCTACACGCATACTACTAACCCTACAAATAGCATCAGTTAATTTCAGCTCTATGAATATACTGTAATAAACGCTATTGTATGTTGGAGGATGTTCAGCTATATGTAAATTCAGTCTCAACATCGTTCTTACATGATACCATCAACTATCAGAAAACCTGATGTTCTATAAAAAGAACAGATAATCGATCTGCTAAAGCTTGCAGTGAGCAGGGCAAACTACAGACCTTTATGAGCTTTTTAGGTCCTATTCACAGAGTTGTTACCAACCTGAATAAAATTAAAAAGTAGGAAAGATTGATCGGCGTGCTTCTGACGTCTGACTGTCAAGCGATGGGCAGCCATGATGTGTTACAGAACATGGTATTTCAGTGTGAGATGCCTGAATTGAGTGTACAGCTTTACGTACGCTGTACAGCAAAGGCGCAAAAAAAGCCTACCGTTTTGAAATTAACAGCTTATTCAAAAATTCTAGATAACACGATTTTCCACCAGCAAGTGAAACTATATATGATTAATCAGTCAATGCAATCATCATGGTCAAAAGTGTTACTATATCAGATACAAGAAAAAGCACTCCTCTGGCATTACGGAGAGGTTGTCGAAAACCAATGTTATTGCTCTGATTGTATTGACGATAGGTTGTTCAGTTCTGTCCGTCATGGTTTTTGCCGTTGTCGCAGGAAAAAATCGTATCTACACAGGCACGATGGCGGCAGATACGGCGGCGTCAATTATGCTAGTAACAGAGCCACAATGCGATCACTACGATTTGTCGTAAATTATTGGCCTGAGGTGTATAAGCTTCTAGGGAGTGCGTGACAGAATTATCTGTTTTTACGACGTTGTCCTCCTATTCGTTCTACTTGTACAGGGATGTCGGTCAACATATAACCACAACAAGCATTTAGCGTATACTGTACGTGCAGCTCATCGTCGGCATAAACGTGCAAAGTTATTAACTTCACCAAAATTATACTTCTTAGCATTATTTACAAATTAATTAATCGTTCTTTATTCAGTTCATAAAAAGCTAGCAGAAATCAATTGCTTTCTAACGACCCCCCCCCCCCCCCCCCCCGAAAGTTACGTTATGAACGAGGGTCGTTTAAACTGTGACGAATGAGATCCTTCCTCACTTCTGTTTGACTAAAAAGCTGCAAGAAAGCAATTCAAAACTAAATTGAAATTTATTGAGTCTGTTCTCTTGAAGCCCTATCGGAGCTCGAAGTACGAACATCGTGCGAACAGCCTGTCTTGAACTGAACGATCGCGTTCATTTAGCACGACTCAATTGCATGTATCTCGCAGCTACGGTTATTGCCAACGAATGATAGTGAGGGGCATGCAAAGTTGTGTCGTAAAGCCGGAAATTGGAGACAGAGGGTGGACTCAGGGGGAGGGGGGTAAAAGCAGGAGAAAAGTGGTAATTGAAATTAGTCCAGACCCTAATATATCCATCGCATAAAACTATTATTTTAGTAAAAGACAAACTATCGACACAGCAGTAATGCTAAGTTATTTTAACATAATCATTCTGTAATCCTGGATTTATAAGGCTATAGTTGTCTGGAGAGGATTAATTTTGACTACAAAGATGAAGTTATAAATTTCAGACAAATTATTATTTGCAGTTCTTTGATAGTTCGGTGTGCGATAGCTTTTATGCGTAATTATTAGACTATTTCAGTGATTTTGCTACTTTGAAGATTTCGCACAGACACCATATTTGAACCATAGTTTTCTGCAAATTGACGGGAGAAGTTTCAGGCAGTATTATTGGTCCACAGTGAAACAATATCCTCCGAGAACTACACAATGCATGAGGAATGAAGGTTATCAAAATGTCATATCTATGCCTTAATGCTGTGATAAATGAAACTGAAGTTCCTCTTTGCCGGTAATAGTCAAAAATTTCGTACATACAGGTTGATAGCTCAGTATCAGAGAAAGCATATGGAGCCATTTAAAAGGTTTTCGTTGTACGAATCTGGTTGAGTTTTATACAGCCAATGTAAACGACTCGTCAGATACCCAAAAAAATAGTACCACAAGGCAATGAGTGGCCTTAGCTATAGTACAATTGTCCTTGCATTTGAAGTATTTACACGTGTAGTCAGACCTGTGGAAGATCTTCTGCAGAGTCTACGTTGGAATTCCAGCATAGTAAAGCAAGTGACGACATACCGGTTTATCCAATTTATCTGTTCCTACTCGTTGTTTGTCATCGCATTAAAAGCAAAGGAAGACTCAATAAATCTTCGTGAATTTTACATTTCAATTTCTGTGGTTTATCTTGTGTAACCGAGTTGTGTTTTGAGCAAGAAAGCTGTAACACGATTTAGTTATTCGAAGTTCGTCGTTGTAAGATCCGCCCGTATAACGCGTATTCCATGTAATCAAAGCTACATTAAGGTGGAACAAGCTGAGAGCGGTTCTGAGCTTCATCGCTCATGCGGCCAATACTGCTCTGCCATATCTTTCGTCGCTTGCAGAGAAACCGGCTTACATGGATAGGAATCAACCTGGCAAGATAGAAAATGTCATTGGTCACTATCCTGTCTCCCCTTCATCGTCTCCGTCTGGTTCAGATCTATCATGAGTTACAATTCCGTGAGTACAGCGTGGAGCCGGCTGCATTTGAGACCTGTACGACTCGTATAGCATGCAATACAGAATGACCTCAATCGATTCGTTCGAACCTTCTGCTAGACAAGGAAAACCCTTCAGCAAGATGGAAAGTAAAAGAAAGCTTAGATTATTGTCTTGAGCCAGGGTGGGATCCCTGCACTATACTGGAAGAGTGTACGTATGTAAAGATTTATTGAATAGTGCGTGCAGGACGGTGAAAAAGCTTTCTTGCGTGTAGGGTCTCAATATTTTGCATAGGTTCGTACACAGTGAATTTTTGTTACAGCTACCAGCACAGCGCTGGACTGGGTGGTCGTGTGTCTACGTGCATTTTTAGGGTGTGAGCTTTTTTTTAGGAATGAGCTTCCCAAGACCAGCTAGGTATGGTCTAGCCGTCATACCCCGTGTACCTCCCACGAAATACCTCGGTGTTTGTCAGGGAGTGAACGGCTTCTCTTATCGAAACTCCACCTCATTAAAGTCCTTATACACCTACTTCTCTGATTGGAAGAGTCAACAGGTCCATTGTGAATTAGGTTCCGTCGATTCAGAGCAATCCACCCGTGCACACGCATTCGCGGCCTATAGACCTATAGAACGGGATGACGCGAATCACGTTAGCCTAACCGCAACAACAAACGCAAGCCGGCTATGCGAGTAGGGTCTTGTGACGCTCCTATTTCGACGAGTCTAAAAGGACAAATGTCAAACTTAGCACAGCAACATGTGGCACCGCTGACCCTAGACATGCGAGATGTTTCCGAGAGACCTTTGAATGACCCGATTGCTCCTACCGCGCTGCGAAAAATAGCGCTAGTGGCGGACGACAGCGTTATGCGGTTTTACGTCGAAAGGACTCTTCCTAAGAAAACGTCAGTGACGGTTGATGCAGTGCCACCAATCGTCGGTAGATATCGACAATGTCGTATGAAGTTGAGAAATATGTTAACAGCATCGATGGGCCGCTTGCGATGTTCTTACATCATGAAAACGAAAAATTAGAAACGGAGAGATATACTAGCAAGGTGAGTTTTTTCGGAACGTTAATCACCTCGCGCTTCGGGTCAGAAGTTCTCTCCGTTTCCCACTTTGGTCAGGCCTGCAAAATGACAAATTATAATATCGTGAAAAGACCGAGTTAAAAAGATTCTAAATGTTTGACCAGGTTGACCTTCGCGGACTGTTAAATGCCAAGGTCGATAATATAGATAAATAGAGACTAACATAATGTGTTTAGTAGAATGAGTTGTACGAAGTACATGATAATTCAAACAATGTAATGATGACGACGTTCGTTGACAAGAACGAGCGAAGGGTGTTCCTCTGGTAACGGTCGACGTTAAACCAGTACTAATGATTAAAATCGACGGCCGCGCGTTACTTCCGTCACAATGTCTGGCAACGTTTGCGCCCGATCCCTACGCTCGGCTCAATCCTGCTAAGACTATTGCCGTAGGGCAATGATGGTATTACCCTTACGCTGTGTGTACTTGTAAGCATTTTAGTAAAAGTCTACATATAGGTTCAGTCGTTTCGATTTTTTTTTTATTAACACTTGAAGAGAAAGCTTAGAGCTCAGAAAAGCCTATCATACAGATCGGTTGATGTGGCATCTCGTAACATGATAATGATTATAATAATAATAATAATGATGAGGACGCTGGTTCTGTGACAGTTAAGCCACGCCTCGTCAAGTTGCTGAGGTGCTAGAACGCCTACGTATGTACAAGTGGAGTAATACAAGAGTTTTTTGATTGAAATTCCTTAAAATAACTTCAGTATTTAACAATTAATAAATAATGCTTTATACGCTTAATAACGTTCGAAACTAATTCATATGGAAATGTGTACATCAAACAAAAAGTCTATTCGAAAATTCAAAATTTTCTGTGTGCTTTCGAACCAAAGAGGGTAAAATTCGTAAGGGTTATTGGTATTTGTTTATTTACGTACTATTTTAGGCCAGTTATGCGTCGACGCTTGCTGCTGCTGCTGCAGGTCACCGGATCGGACACCGTATTGGAAATGTACAGATATATGTATATCGAGAGCCACCATGTTTTTTTGTTCTGTAACAGCTCCAGGCCTTGCATTATCGGTTGTGTGTTCGTCAGATCACTTATACTCTACCATTAATGTAGTGCTATCGGCTTAACCATAATTCACTGCAATGACTACGACGAATGCGCGATAAGAAACCTTTGTTTGCTTTTGAATGACTACAAAGGCAAACTCGTCACATTGTAACTTTTTTGCCCGCGTGGATAACACAGGTATTTCTCGACGGCCTTCCCGCAAAAAAGTCGGGATTTTATTCATAGAGTGCGAAAGCGGATCATCGCCTAGATTAATAATTATAGAATATTATGAAAACAACACTTTCTGCTGTACATTGAAAGCTATGCAAAGGTACACTTTCTTGTTGTCTGTTCACTTGACCCTTTCCAGATTGATTACAAGCAACCTATTTTTTTCTTTTTATTTTTTTTAAGTTACTTGCATTTGGTAACTTCGAATCGACTGGATCGCTTTTTTTGCCATTACCGTTCCCTACCTCGACGCCTCTATGCAGACTTCACGGATCGACCACAAGATCGCAGCCTTATATTTGAGCTGTTTAAGAGGAGTTTCAGATCTGCTGCTAACGTTCGGGACTGATGTAAATTTCTTGGCTACAGGAATGTAACTACGATGGGGCAGTCTGCCTTGAGGTCAGCTGAATCTGTTTGTTATAATCACACCTAACGTTAAGCAGATTATAGACAGATTTACCAGGTACGCTTATAAGGCTGTCGTATTCCTATAGTCCAGTAAAACAGTTCACCAAACAGTATGCACTCAGGATTTTCATGCCTACGCCGGCCGTTTCTGCTCGAAATAGATCATTGTTCAATGGTGTATCTAGTATACATAGTAACTAATCTGATTTTGTTTCGAAAAAGAACGTTATAGAGAAACTTAATCAACTTAGTCCTTCAATAACCGTCAATGGATACCGATCAACAAAATTCAGCGGTACGATATTAAACACGTTTAGATAAAACGTGATGAATACCAAATGTCGTGTATAGCCGTTGCCTTCGAAGTACATTATCGTCCAGAAATAACAAAGGTAAAGGCGCGAGAATAGACCGTCGATGCAACTTATATTATTTGCGTGTCCGAAAAAAACCGACGGGACTAATGGCTGATCACAGTGATGGCTTTAAAAATAGAATCATTTAATTATTTCACTTCTAAACGTTTCTACTTTAGTCTGTCGACAATATTGCTCTTGTTCCTTTGATTGATTCTTAGCGGCGTGCGATAGAGGCGCCAAACAGTGGAATTCTATACGTGCCAGCAGTTATGTCTTAACGGAGCTGTATTGGTCTTTCGTGTAGAGTTCAGACGGCTTTTACAGTTTCCGGATCGCTTTCTGCAAGCCTCGTGCTAACCGATGTTCGCGTTGCGATCGTTCCGCCATACTCTCCATGAGCTCCAGTAGACGAAGTCATAGCATTGGTCACATACGAAGAAACCCTTTGGTTGGGCAAGGGGCAAACAAAAACGCATGGATTATAATGTTTGTAGTGCTTTTAATGGCTTCGAAAATCTACCGTGTCATTCTTATCTTCGAAACAAAGGATAGATCAACGAAAAACGCTACCACAATTTTAGACTCACTGTAAACTCAGGCCAATCAATTATACCAATGTTCTGTAATATGTCGTATTCAGTTGTTTCGAAATACTTCCAAGTCACCGCAACATGCCTTTAAGCCGGGACTTGCTTCTAAATGAGATGCAAAAACAAGCAATTGAATTATTCGAGTGCATATGCTCAGATCGACCTACTTGTCACCCATTCGTCGCCATGCATGCTTCCATGTCGGGCCGTGAACATCCTTAGGAGGGCTTTTCTCTCTCCTGCCCCCCAGTGGTGCTCCTTCGTCATCGGGATCGGGGCCGTCAGCCTCGAAAGTTGCCCCCATTCCAAACATAGGCTCCTCCTCATCCAAAGTCGGTCTGTAATCGATTTATGTTTTTTTAAAATGTTAATGACACTCATTCACCGGGAAAAAGTCTGAGGTGTCCATTCATTAAATATACCTCAGCTCCAGCGACAGATACTTAGCGAATTGATAGGTATTCTATGGGCACTAATGTATTCCGCGTTTTGAAATCACGAGGCTACCACGTTAATCACTATAAAACAGAATGCGAGTTTGACGAACGTAAGAAAAAAACGTCCGGACTTAGCCAGTAAACCTATTCGGTTTACTGAATAAATAGGCCGACATATTCACTTAATTTTTTATGATTTTTCCACTTTTGTAACGTACGCTAATTTTAGTCCAGGTAAAATGTTTATACGAGGGCCAGTATACAGTTTTAGGTAGATTTTGGGAGAGAATGAATTGGCTATGTTGCTAGGCTTGCTTCACTCTGTGCCGGAGTGTTGATTGTTATAACAGATCTAAGTTGGATCTATACTATACACATCAGGATATTAATAGTTACTATAATTTTTCAGCTACGTACTGCTGTTCAACCGACACAAAACGATCGATGGCATTTCGGAGCCGTGAGTTCGCCGGCCAGCGTATAGGGAAAAAAAAGGCCAAAGTGACCTATTTGTGCTTGTAAAGTTACCTGACGCTTCCGCTCACAACAGGCATGCACGGTTTTCCTTGATTCCCGTTCCAGTAACCATCATCGCTTTATAAATAGGTGGGAAAACGTATGATGATGAAACAGCGTCGGCAGCGTTAATAGCTTACTATTAGCAGGACGCCGTCGTTTTTTTGTGGCTTGTCGTTGTCAGCAATAGTTTCACGTCTTACGTGTTTCGTTTAGTTTCCACGATTCAGTCGATTTAAACAGCGAGCTTTCATCGTTACCAGTTTAATTGGTGATTACGGGCTTCTGCGACCCGACAGCCAGTGGTAGGCGATGAGGAAACGGGAAAAAATCATTGACAGTATTGTAACACTAGGGGCTAGTAGTTCTGTTTTGCGGTAACGACATGAAATAGATTGGATGTATGTATTTCCTATGAAAAAAAAAAAACGCGCGTGTTATTCATTGCAGTTGATAAGAACGTGTCAATACAAAACTTATCATCGGTGCGCTAGAATAAAAAAAAAACCATTCATACTAGTGTGACACTCGTTAAAAACACAATCATTACTATTTTTGTTATTATCACATTGTTCCTTTTCGGCTCCCGAGTTTGGTGCTAAGATCCCACTCAATCCGATTCTAGACTCACCGATCATTGCTGCCGCTTGTAAACACTGCTGTTTCTGCTAGCAGCATTTTCAAGCGCAGCATTTTAGCGTTGACGTTCAGGAGAACCTCACTGACAGGTGATTCGTAGAAAAGGTGGCTTTCTCAGAGCACGGATTAGCCACAGGCCAGGCAAATGGTTTCCGTTGCTCGGCTGAGTATAATAACAGCGCGATCAGGCGAGACGACGAGCAATGAAACACCAACAAAGGAACAATGACGGGCGGTGACGAGAGTATCGTTTTTGTCATTATCGACCCGCTTTCTGAGGTACCCTTGGTCCGTTGAAGCTGCTGATTTCTTTTAGACTCGGCTAAAACTTTCTGGTAACGCCCAATGGAGAATTCTGTACAGGTTGCTGCACAAGCTGCGGCTATTGAAACCTAACCACAGGTAAGCCAGAAGCTATTATGCACAAGGGGCCTTTAACCGACGACTATCATTGACATTATAATTTACAAACGAATTTGCAGCATATATAGAATTTTCTATATCTGTATTCGTTTTTATAATTTTCTGTCGTCTGCGGAAGATTGCGTCGATGCTGTTGTGTGTCATCGAGGAATGAAGCAATATGTTGACCTCATGAGGTCATTTTTGGCATTAAATATTACTTGTTCAGTTCCCCAGCTATGCTGATGCTCTAGTCGTCAATTGTAACACGTAGCAATAATTACAATATAATAATAACCCATAATGAATAAAGCTGGCAAACTATTTAAAAAATATGCCACAATAAGGAATCGCTCTGAACAGCAAATGAACAGCTGATCATTAAGGCATGGCTCGTTTTGCTAATTCACTGTTCAAATGTTGTTTAAATTTTAACATTGGGAAAAATTATGGCTAAAAAAAAAATTATTCACCAGGATAATAAGATGTCGAGGATAAATAAGACATTTAGAAAAGATAAGGAATTATTAGCAAAGGTCTCACGGACAAACCTTATCTAAGTTGATATTACATATATATATATAAGCTGAACGTTCAGCGAGACCCACCTTCATTGGATTCTTAATGGAAGCAAGTATTTGATCGTATACCTAAAAAAAGGTGATTCCGAAAACTTGACCACATACAGAGAATAACCGAGAACGGCAAATAAAACTTGAATTAAAAAAAAAGCGGCGGCCTATACAGACATTTTTGAAGCAGCATCATTCCTCAATAGGTGGTATAGAAAAGTTGCACACTTCTGTTTTGTGCATTTACCCTAAAATTATATAGAGTTTATGGTAAACTCGTATATATATATATTTACAGAAAATTTTTATCTTCTGATACATTCAACAGATCAACGAAAAATGTCCTTGCGTTACCTGAAAAACTTTGAGCCATCGAGGGACTCACGTACGGACGTCCTGTATCGATCATTTCTGCCCCTTGAATGCAAAAAAGTTACTGCCCGCATGGCGCTCGCACAGCCATATTATGTTATTGTTATTATTTTTTTTATTAATTCTTCTATTGCTTGAAGAATTGTGGGTATTTCGTTCAGGTAAACCCTTTTCATTTTTGGACATTAAAAGAGTAGATCTTAACAATTTTGCAAACGTATGGCCATCCTTAGTATCAAATATAGCATTGACGTACGTTTCTGGTTTGCACTAGATAGCTAAATGTATCCACTGTACTTTCTGACAAGGTATAGTGACGATGGTCCTGTCTTGCCATCCAATCAACTCGGCAGTCAATGGGTCGCTTTACTAACACAGGGCACGTGTAATCTCTAAATTTGGAACTTCGATTGCTTTTTGAGGGAGAACAGTTCTTAGTAAAAATGGTGGGCAGTAAATAGTTAACAGAAACTCTATCCTCGTTTATGGCAGTAAAGCAACAAGCCTATGTAAGTAAAATAGTTCTTAAAAAAATAGTAAAAAAAAAAATACTATAGTATGTTATACGAATGTGCATTGGGTGATATAAATTTCCTCGAAGTAACGCGATATATCGTCAGTTACCTCATCAGATGTTCTGAGCATATCTGTAGAAAGAGATAAAGGCAAACGTGCTTCAGAGAGCTTTCGGCTGATTAACGCAGTGGATGATATTTCAGTTTTCTACTTTTCAATAGCTTAACTAGCCAACTAATTGACGCCACATGTTCTATAGGTGTACGATTGACCAATATGGCTAGCTGAGTTGTCGGCCTCGAAATTCGACTTTACCTAAATACGAATTAAGTTTTGTTAGTTGCTTATATTTTAGCTAACCTAACGTTACGACCTGTTTGAACGAAACTAGGCTGCTCGTAACAGCGTACCTCTATGATACAGAGTAAATGACAGAGACAATAGGCGCTATTTACGGTAGCCGTTACCCTAAATCAGTCACCGATAGTGTGTGTGTCTGTCTCTGTCTCATGTGCATCGTTGTTGCTAAAAAAACGCCTAGAAATTTTTAAGTAAGAGGCCAAAAACACAAAGCTGCGAAGTTGTCGCCTTTGACATAGACGCAGCGGTAACGTTTGCGGATGGCAAGTACAAAGCTAAAGATCATGGCGTTGCGACCGATTATATCGTGCCCGTGGAGGTGTCGATACGGCCTTTTGCCGCATCAAAAGAAGAGCGGGCAAGCTCGTATCGCAGCTATGTATGGCTTATGGGTAACTTCCGTCGCATGTTTAACTTTCCTTAAAAGTTACACATCTTTTTTTTTGCTCCAAAGGCCTTTGCGATTCGTACTACAGACAGATAGCTAGACAAAGGAACATTCCGATGCTTAGACACGCTTTCACGTCTCAAGTATATTTGTACGAGATGATCTTGCCGAATCAAATGATCTTATTTAACTGTCATCATATGACCTACGCAAAGCCGTTCCAGTCAGTGGCGAATGGCCACTATTTCGACATAGTGTTGAAACCGACGCCGATCACGAACGAAGTGAACTGCCATACAACCAGACATAAGAAAAAAGTATACCAGACGATGTTTGGACACAAACCACTAGACCACATTGTATTCCCCAAATGAGCTTACAAAAAAAAAACTTGTTACGTTTGCGAAAGCTACAAATGTTGTGATCATTCTATGCAGCCGGAGAGGATATGTCTGTGCCAGTGCTAGTAATAACAATAAAAATATGATAATTATTATTATTATCTGCATGATCATGGAAGTCATAAGGGATATGTGGCGATGTTGACTGTCGCCGCTGTTGCGATGGCTGTAGGCAAAAATGATAGTCGATATCGACTTGCACGGATGCTGGGCATAAGTAAAGCACCTACTGGTTCCGCTGAAATGGAACGTTCTGCTTTCTGGAAGCTGTATGCGTTGAGCTTTGATAACAGTTAATGAAAAGCAGGCCAGCTAGAACAGTGCCTTGCTTAGTATGATAAACGTAAAACAAATCGAAAGCAAGGTGCATGTATATTCCATTTTGTAGTGAGATAGCAGCAGGTGTATTTAGGACAGTTTCATTTACTAGACCAATTCCGATGGTTCTACGCGGACAGAGCGGACCATTTTTTCATCTAGTTTTAAATTTATTGGGCAGGAATAACTTTAGGTACCTGACGAAACAATGCATAGCATCATCGTATCGATGCTTATCAAGTAATTGATGTTGGAAGCTTATACCGACTGTAATATTTGAAAAAAAACCCTGCTACGTAGGACTCTGTTAGTATATATGCCGGCCTTCTCATTATTTATTATTATTATTCCGTGCACTTCGCTAATTATGCCTAGCCGGTAGACAATCGTAAAATAAACCGAAAAAGAATTTTCCAT